TTCGATTTTCGGTGAAAACGCTTGACCCGGAAGTCAACATTATATTATGACCTTTATTTTAACATGGATATAATGTGGATTGGAATAGAAACCAAGCTAAAATTGAACGTCGGTTCTCGAACTGCCGGGGGCGGCTTGGCGTACTGACGGCACTTGAGCCGCGCCGCCCCCCCACGGCTCGGCGTAGCGAATGAGTTAAAAGGGTAGTCACACATGTATATTTTTATATCATATATATTATGATAAATATATTTGAAAGTAAGGCAATCTTTCTCAATCCTTTGCCACCTCATCACTGACCCTGATCACATGCCTGTTTTACTTCTGAAACTTATTGAAGACCCTTGCCTGAGAACTGTAGGCTATTGTATTGTTTCTGTGTTTGAAAGTTGCTCATCTTGGTGGTATATATGGTCACTTTTAAGAACAAGCGGGCTAACCCAGATTTCGGGGATTTCCAGAAATCTTGACCTACACCAAGATGGACATTGCCCTACCTACAGGAGAAGTTTGGTTTCATTGGTGTGTATATTTGTTTGGTTATAAGAGAAAACTCTCCTTGTCTTTTAAAGAAACTGAAAGGGGCAAAAATTTTACCTTCAATTTTCTCCAAACGGCATTTTTCGTGAGAGCCGCTTTGTGCTTAAAAGTAAAAATGATCATATTTATTGCTCTAAACGTATTTTAAACTCTTAATCTCCGAGGGGGGGGTACCAACTGTACGGGGCCCTCTTTTTGTACAAAATCTAAAAATGACAAAAACATCACTAAATTGGTAATTGAATCAGAACAAGTAGTGAATTTATTGTAGTAGTTTTTCATCTAATGTTAAAAAGAGACCTGGCGCATTGGTTCCGACAGCGAACTGCTGGGAGTGGCTTGCCGAAGATAAGGAGTTAAATAGAGCTTTCTGTTTTACATGATGTATTGTGTAATCTTTAATTTATAAATGATTGTGCATTTCCAGAATAATGGCAGCCCCGGCGCCAATAAAAGTTGGGACGAGAGTGGAGGTTGTTGGAAAAGGTGTGATTGGTGCTGTGGCCTACATTGGAACTACCGTCTTCAGCTCAGGTAATTTATTGGAAGATGTACCTAAAAATTCAAATGTTTTAGAGCATTTTTGTGCTGCTTTTTTTCAGACTCTCTTTTTTTATTTCAGGGTAAATTTGTCATTGTGATCTCTCTGCATTTTCATTATTTCTGGCCAGTTACTGAACAAAATGCAAGATTCTGCCTTTTAATTTTTTAGAATAAATGATCACTTAAACTTTTTATGATTTTTCAAATAATCTTATTTCCAGGTAAATGGATTGGAGTAGTATTGGATGAAGCCAAAGGGAAAAACAATGGAACAGTTCAAGGGAAGACGTACTTCACTTGCGCTGACGAACATGGCATTTTTGTGCGACAGTCACAGGTAAGAATTGAACTATTTGTGAGGCAGCGTGGTGAAATAAGCAGCTCGTCAAAATTATGAAAGTGAAGATAAGGTCTGGAAATTTTTACATCAAATTTTTGGTTTTTTGGCTGAACATCTTTCATGCCCATTAAAAGAACACATTTGGGGGCTCTCATGGCCTGGAGGATAAGGTGTTCACCTCTCATTCAAAGGTTCCAGGTTCGAATCTGGGTACCGAAGGAAAAATTTTCTTCTCTGAAATTTTCTCCTTTCACTTCCTTTCCTGCTCTCTTACAATGTTCTGTCGTCTGCTTTCGTCTCCACTTTCTGCCCCCACCCGCTCAAACCCTTTGCCCGCCCCCCTCTGGACTCCTGACTCTTTCCACAGCCTCTACTGCTACTCCATGGCTCCTTCTTACTGCTGTCTTTCAGCCACACCCCTGATCTTCTGGTAGGAACGATCTACACCTAGCCTTTTCGGACAAGGGCGAAAAGTCTCGGAGGTCCATTGTGCAAGTTGCGCATATTAAAGATCTCTTGGTGGTCTAAAATTTATATGAGTAGGCTTCGACCGCCACCCAGGCAAAATGCAAAATTTCCTATCAACTGGAAATGTTTAATGTGTCCAGTGCGCTCAGATGACCTTTTGCAATTGCGAGCGCAGTGAAACACTTACCAAAAAAACCGACATATTTATATGTGGTTTAAGACATAAAAAGATATAAATTTTCATTTCCACAGACTCTCAGGCTAAGGAAATAACGCAACTTTGGCGACCATTTTTCACTAATTTTACCTCTGAATCTAGGCGACCCCCACCTTCTTCAATCGCCAATATCTTGACTTGTGTGCTAGATAAATGGATATTTTTGCCATCAAAAGCAAGGCAAATGGACAGGCTTTAAGGTGATACCTATAACTTGATATGCCCCAAAATTGACGAGGGCCTGATTCCATCGTGTTGCGACACATTTTTTAAAAAATGATGTCTATCAATGCTCCATGATGAGGATCATGGATCTTGAAAATTCAGCCCTTGATTTTTTCATATATTGTTAGGTTAATACTTTGTTTCATGTGCAAGTAGAGCTTATCAGAGCAGTGAGTTTGAAAGCAATCACTATTGACTTTAACTCACTGACTGCCAGGGGTTGAAATCCAAAAATGTAACACTAACTGCAAGCATTTCAAGGGTGTTTTAGAACATACATAATCGGATAAGTATTCAAAGTAGACACTTCTAATTTTCACTGTTTATCATTTCTATGTAGTGCTTTGCCTTTATTGAGGTTAAAAGAGATTTCCAATTCATGCCATACTTTAGTTTGTATGATTATTTGAAATGTGGACAAAAATAAACTCCACTGGTTAAGGAAGTGCATGAAACAACCTCTAAGGCAAATTTTTGTCAACCCTTTTCAACAAAATAATTGGGATGTAAGTATTCTAAGTCACATTTGTGACCATCTGGTATGCCCTGTTCAATATTGGACGCCATAAAAAGCAAACGATTTTTTTAACCTAAAGGCTGGACAATGTGTAATTTCAACGTAAAATCGTGAAATGCTGAGCCCAGATCTAAAAATTACCTGTTGTAGCTCACCTCACATAACAACAAAAAAAGAGCCTACATTAATGGATTAAGAGATGCTATTATGGAATAGCATGTCTTCACTTTAAGCAATTACCAATGCCAATCATGGGTTAGTAAACAGTGTAAAAACAGTGAAGTTCAGAAATGGAAACCAAAAGGGGTGTGGGTCCAAAGCCGTGTCGGTAATGGTAGTCAGTGAGTTAAGAGGCCTCAAAGGTTTATGAGTTTGTGTTTACGATTTTTTGAAAAATGCAGGAACTTTATAGTTTTGAACTTTTATTCTTCAAAGAGAAATTTTATTCTTGTTTTGCCATGTGCTATGTGAAGTGAATGTGTCTTAACATATGAATATATGAAAAATGCTTAATAGATACATCACAATGCCTGTTCTATGTAGATCACACCTTTGGAGGATCAGGGTCCGGTCAAACAGCCTGCTCACAGTGCTGCAGCCACACCAAAACCCAGTGGGCTCCGGCCTCCTGGCTCTTCTGCACGTCCCACCAGCACACCAGCAGGTCATAAGAGATCCGGGATCAAACCCCCAGGATCTATGACCAAAAGTAATATTTTTTTGTCTTTTAGTGACCTTTGTCTGCCTCTCATTGAAGTCTTTTTTTCTCCTTTTTCTTGTATACCTTTTCTTTCACTGCCTTTTCCATTTGCTTTTTGACTTGTCTATCCCCTGTGACTTTTGTCCATCTCAAAGTTAGTTTTTTTATCTGTTTATGATGCCGTGTTCTTTTCTCCTTTACTTTGACATATTGTAGTGTATATGTTTGGTTGACTTTCTGATCTCATTGTTGTGTCTTCCTGTGTTTTGTCATTTTTAGAGAGAATTAATTTGTAAGAAAAGAGCAAAAGGGAAGCAGAAACAGCAAGTATGAGAAAGTGGCAGCATATGGAAAAGAAGTCTGTATTGCTATTGTCTGTGTCTGGGACAAATTTCAAGTTGTGTTAAGTAAGAGCAGAAAGCAGACAGATCCACTTTTAATTGCCATTTTGTGAACTTTTTGTTTTTGAGTAGGTCTTCTTAAAGAACAGGAAGTGTACCTGGAATTTTCTCATTGTCAGATCAGTAAAGGTTACCATTGTCATCATTGTCATTTTGTCGATGCATTACCATTGTGTGTGCTGTAAGTGCAATTAGATAGAATTCAAAATTCAGTGCTAATGAAGTTTGGTTTTTGAACTGTCAGAACAAATTTGAATAGCATCACAAAATCAGTGTAAAGTGAAAGTTTAAGTTTAATTGTAAGAAATCATTAAATATTTTAAAGATGGAGGCATGGGTTTTCATTGAGACTGGCTTCATGGTCTTTTATTTCTTTATTAGTGGCGACATAATATAATGTGGTAAACAGAAGTTTGTTATAAATTTTTTCTGCAGTTCACACTGAACTTAAGTGTTTGCAATGAAAGGAATGGCATGTATTTTTTCTCCTCATATCTAAGAGAAAATTTCTTTTAAAGGCACTGAAAGTCTTGGAGATTCCAACAGCTCAGCCCCCACTCCTGCGGGGAAGGGATCATCCGCGGACCCATCAGCCACCCCAGCTGGCCGCTTGCGACTGCCTAGGACCAGCAAGGAGTCCACACCTGCAGACGACAAGCCGAGTGCTACTCCTCAACCGGCCGCTCCACCTGAGGTGAAAGTTCCAGACACGCCTGCCCCGGCTTTGTCTCAGTCTGCCCAGGTAATATCCTTTGTTCCTTGCCTTTTTTTTTATATCAGGGATTGTTCATCGGTGCTTTAAAATGTGCTTTTTTCTGATTTGATTTTCATTCTTGTTGAAATACGAACATTATTGTATCAGCTTGTGGGTTATATTTCAACTAACAAAAACTCTTTATTTCTTTATTTTACTGTAACTGTTAAAGAACACATGAATACTTCTGTTTTAATTGTAAACATGATGATGAAGAAAGTTTAGCAGTTGTGATTAACTTAACTTGAAGAAAGACGTTTGTCAAAATGTGATATTTTTATATTAGTGATTGATGATAAATTTTTGTCTGTTCAGCTATATTGTTTTGATTGTGGGTTTGTTGTGGGGTTGTTTTTTTCAGATGAGTTTGAGCCAGCTTAGCGCCATGTCCAGCTCTCAATCCTCAATTGATGAACGTTTGACTAATGTACAACAGCAGCAGGAGATAGAAGGTCTGAAGACAGAAGTCAAGGACCTCAACGAGAAACTGGAGACTCTCAAGATCAAGAGAGGCGAGGACAAAGTGAAGCTCAAGGAATTTGAGAAGACAAAAATTCAGTTGCAGCAGGTACTTTTTTTATCCTTTACTCTTTGGTATGCCAAAAATAACTTAGTTACTATCTGGTCAGACTACTATGTGGATGACCCTGGTTTGAGCTTGGGTTGGTAGGGGAGGCTTTCGCAGTCTACGCCTCTTTGGCTTGGTCCTATTGGACGTACAGCGTCATAAGATCTTACAGTGTTTATTGAGGTATTAAACCTCTTCCATGTCATCCAATTTGTTACTTGGATAGGTGACACGCTATTTATTTTATTCACATCTTGTTTTCCCTTAACATGTCCTGTAGTGCATGTCATTACATTTACCTAGCGAACAGTGTTATGTGCTGCAACTATCACCTCATGCTGGATAACATTATACACTGAAAGGAATTTTAATAGAGTGTTGCCAACAAATTTGGAGCATTGGTTATATAGAGGTGAAAGGGGGAAATCATTTCCAAATGTCAATATTAGATGAGATTCGAGATGTACAATTACTTGATGGAACAAATTAGATTGCTTGAAAGTAATCTTGTAATTTAAATTTAAACTTGGCTTGTTAATACTTAACTACATTTTTAACCTCGGTGTTCTCAGTAGAACTTGATGCAGCGTTGTGGGAGCATTTTTATGTTTTTATTTGTTACAACATTCCTCACTTATTGTTTTTTTACAAGTACAATTCACATCAATAAAAAGTTACTGAGGTTCTAGAAACAAATATTTTTGACATGTCTAGTAATATATAGGCCTAATTTTACTTTCTTTTATATATTGGTCTTTTGTGAGCTTGAAATATCGCATACTTTCTTTTGCAATAGAATTCACAGAGATGAAGATAGTACTGATAATGTATAATTGAAGCTGCTTCTTTTGAATCCACTCCTTTTGTATAGAGCATATCTGTGCTCAGTGATATTTATGTCTTTTTATCACTTTTGTTCAACAGCTTCAAGAGTATAAGTCAAAGATGCAAGAGACTCATGCTGACTTACAGAGGCAGTTGCAAGCATCTAAGAAGGTATTGATTCACTTTGTTCTTTGTACCTTTTCAGCTTGCATTTTGTAGTAACCTAAGAATTCCACAACTGAACTGGAGACTTTTAGGCATATGGTACTAAACAAGAATATAATGGACACGTTCTTGGAGAAAAATTGCAGGGAAGATTATGAGATGACATTCAGAGAATGATTTGTTATTTCAACACATAATATTATGCATTAAGTGGTTCACTGTTTCTGGAGTAGGCCCCTTGAAAACAAAAAAAAATTGATACAAATTTTTGTTTTCCGCTCCCTGTTTGTATTTTTAGCAGTTTGTGGATGAAATGTTTGTAGTCAAGATAAATGTCTCTGCTTATGAATGTACTCCCTTTATTCTAATAAAAGTGAGGCAAGATGAGGACATAAGCGGAACACTTCAGATTATTTAACATATTAAACATTTTTATTGTTTCGATCTTCCAAATGTTTATTCCATGTGCTTTGAGTCCTGAAGAGAGGAATTAGTTGTTTGTTATAGCCTTGATATGATCAACCTTCTTTTGAAAGAAATGCACAATCATGTGCTGTTTTTTATGTTACTCATCTTTGGTTATAGCTGGGGGCTTTTTTAAAATGAATTTTCAATAATTTCAAGTTGGTGGATTTTCTGTTTTCTCCTGGAACATTTTCTAGAACTGGATGCCAAATGTTTAAGATAAAAATCCAGCAAGTTCAAGGTTTTACCTTGCTGAATCATGAATACAAATAAATGAGTTACAGCGCTACTGGAACATATAAGTTCTCACAAGACACTTCTGAAAATGATGTTTTCCTGAATCTCTGCAACTCATTTTTTTAAAAACTGTATCTAATGTTCTTGAGGCTCAACAAGTCATTTATTTGAAATTAATGTGCATGTTTCATGAAAAAATCTCTGCAGGTTAAATGCATTTATGTGTCATTCAGTTTTGTTCGTCTTGTCTTTGAATTTCCCATGAGACTTAGACTGCATCATTCTTGGTAATGTTTTCAGGAACTTTCTGAGCTTCAACAAGAGTATGAGGTGTACAAGGAAGAGATGGCGGATGTGACAGAGACTGTAGAGATGGCTACTCTTGATAAGGAGATGGCTGAGGAAAAGGTGGGTCTCTGTCTATTGGGTTTTTAAAAGAATAAGTCTGCTAGTCCTTTCTGTGCAAAAAACTTATTCTGTGGTGGGTCTTTTCTGTAGAGTCGTTTTCTATAATTGTAGTGTTGTGTATTTTAATTTGCATTTTGTCCCTCCATTGTCCTTTCGTTGACTGATAGTTTGTGTAGCACTACATTTGGGCCTCTTTTTTTAATGAGAGGTTTATTAAGTCATATTTAGATTATCCAATCATCTCTTTTTGATCTTATTTTCCTTTAACTTCTGTTGTTATGGGTGTTGTTGTTTTTTTAGGGGGGTGTATTTATGTTTGATATATTATTACCAAGATGGCAATTTAAAATAATAAGCTACTTGGCAGGTTTCACAATTTGAGTGCCCAGCATTTCCCAAAATTTACCAAATATGAAGTATTATAAAACATGACATATGATATACTGTTTGAAACGTTAACATTTCAGAATACTAGAAATGCATATTTTATGAGCGACAGCTCATCGCAGTGTACATAAGAGACCTTCAAAATTAACTCCCCCCGATTTTCACTAAATGAAGAAGCTTACTGAAATCTTTCTGTAAATCGCATAAAGTACACAAATACAACACAAAAATATTCACAATCCACCAAAGAACACTCAAACAGCTTACTTAGGAAGAAAAAATGCTGGAAACCCAAGATTTATACCCAGATTACTCTATTTGTTACATAACCATGTTCTACTCAAATTGCGCATTTGTGATGTTCTTTTGATCGGAATGATTTACTGTTCACATTATTTACTCCATTCTTGTAATTTTTCATCTAATCTTATATCAAAGTTGAACAAATAAACACAAAAAAGTATGAGATAGTCCGATTTGATAAGAAAATACGGAATATTTACACAAAACTAACATTCCTGTCGATCGTTATTAGGTCGTTCATTATCGGATGGACAACATTCTAAACCTGATTGCGGACGAAGTGTGCGAATACAAAATATTCGTCCCCGCGATTACGGGAACAAGGAAAGAATGCGAGTTTTCCGTCACGTGGTATGGATAAAGCTTTCTTTGTTCGATGTCGATTGTGATGGATTTTCGGATGGACACGGGTCACATGAGATATATTGGCCCATAATTTCTTAACCTATGACTAAAAAACTAACTTTTTCCGACTTACACTCTCAGAATAAGTGTTAGTTTGACATGGGGGCAAGTTTTCCACAGATTTTGTAAAAAGGTAGGCTTAGATGGCATTTTGAGAGCACCCTAATTCAAAAGGACTGGTGCGATAAAAATATTGCCCTATTGTCTAAGGACATGCAGGCTTGAGGTTTGCTGTTGTAACCACTTTTCAAGGCTATTTTCCAAATTCTACACAATATTTTTGTGGAAACAGGAGTTTTTGGCCTTATCCAGATGAGCAATCTAACTAGAACTAGAAAATGGGAAATGGTGTCCTTAAGAAAAGCAACAAAAGATGTCCTAAGATCAGTCATAAAAAATGAACAATTAAAAAATCAACAAATTTTAATGGTTTTCTAGTTTATTTGAAGTAAATACAACACAAACACAGTTTGAAAAATTGTTTATTTCAACAAAACATAAACTTATTGGCATTGAAATATCTCACCACCTCAGTGCACATAAAATTGTGAAACCTGCCACATGTCTTTGACTTTTCCGACGCTTCTGCGCTATGAGAAGTCCCTTGAAATGAAGCTTAAATGTTCATTGATGTTGCAGGCTGAAGGTTTACAGCAAGAGCTGGACTCAATGAAGGAGAAAGTGGAAGAGCTCACAGTTGACCTTGAATTGTTGAGAAGTGAAATCTCAGAGAAAGGTATTGTATACAGGTTTTATGTCTCATATGTTTGAAAATTTGAAGCTTGATAAATTAATTTCTTTAGTAGGGAAAGATGTGTGTACAACTGCACAGAGAAAATTAAGGAGAAACATGAACTAATGAAGTTTTCTGAATGAAGTGACAGATATGTACTTATATTTCTCTGTTCATTCAGCTAGTTGTGTGTGAGAAAGGACTTTTATAAGGCTGATTGACTTATGTTTGTTTTGTTTTTTTGTGCGTACCAATGGCAGGGTCAGATGGTGTGGCTGCCACTTTTGAGATGAAGCAGCTGGAGCAGCAGAATGAGAGAATGAAGGAGGCTCTTGTGAAGTAAGTTGTTGTTGAGTATTTGTTTGCAATAAGTTAGCTCAAGCAATGCCACATTTCTCTTGGAGCATTTGAAAGAAGTTGATGAAATAGAAAATACAGCAAGCACCTGCTTGGTTAACAATTGAAGATGGTTGATGTGTTGGTGGTGACTAACATTATTTGTGTTAAACATGGAGATTGACATTTTAGTATTTTATGAAGCGACAATGTGAGTTCCAGAATTGCCTTATTCAATAACACAAGAACATTTGTCCCCTTATTTTTTTTTGCAAAGCCTTCTGAGAACTAGACTTGCTTTTCAAAGGCCATAGAGGTGTGCTATTGTTTTAGCTGGTGATGCTGATAAGGTCATTTGTTTGATTAGTTGCACATATGTCCTTACAAATTTTGACAAAGTTATCAAAGACTAAAGGATACACAAATACAGGTATACTCATGTTTGCTCAAAGCAAGTGAACAAGGAAAAATTTTAATAAATATATTTTATCCGATGCTTAGCTGTCTGAAGCTAACCACATTACTTTAGAATGACTCTTATGGCTGGTCAGTTCTTGATACTTTACCAAAATTAGTCTTCAGGGCAAACATACTAATATGTCAGGTAGATTGATATATAATTTGTGTGGTTGTATTTTTGTAAACCATAGCACAAGTATGCAGTCTGCTTTTGGGTGAGCATTTACAGTGCCTACCTAGCTCCACATCAGGAAAGGCACAATACAGATAACATTTGTTTTTGTTATTATTTTTGTTATTACTCTTATTACTGTTGTTGTAATGATGATTGTTGTTGTTGCTATTATTTTTATTATTATTACTATTTTGCGTTTTCACACCTTCCTCTAGGTTAAGGGACATGTTGAACTCGGAGAAGCAGGATCGTCAGCGGAGTGAGAAGCAGCTGGAGAAACAAGAGGGAGAACTGGGTGTTCTGCGCAAGGACAAGGAACGACTGCAGCTACAGGTCACTCAGCATGAGAAGGAGCTGATTGACCTCAAAGAACAAGTAAGTGGTGGTGGTGGTGTTGCGCTGCAGCTGATGCTAAGTAAAATGTTGATTTATGCAATAGTAATTGATTATAGATCATTGTGTGCCTCTCCTGCCAAAGTACCAGAATTTAGTCCCAATGTTTTAGGTAACATGCTGAGTAAATAGGGGGAGAGGGGGTTCAAGTTTTCGAATTCTTGTTCCATAGTAGGTGGGAGGAAAAAAATGAAAAACTCAGAGGATTCTTGTGCTCATAAGAGGCACCTTAGTAGTTGACAGTTGAAGAAGTGTGGTCCTGTTAAGACTGATTAAGTAAAGTTGGGCCCTCGGCATATTGTGGTAGCGTGGCCACTTCCTTTCCACGTCGCCTTTACTTCCTCAACTCGAAGTCAGGTACCCATTACTGCTGGGTGGACACGACGGGGCAAAAAAAATCTGTGTCCGAACCGAGGCTTGAACCCCGACTTTCCGCTTTGCAGACGAGCGCACTAACCGCTCCGCCACCTGGATTAAATTCTGAATGAATCCTGACCCAATCCAAAGAAAGCCTTGTGGTTTGTTTTTTTAAGAGTCACTGTGTGATTTGTGTCCCAAGGCTTGGGTTATTCTTAATGGGGTATCGTGAAATGTTCCAGGCTTTGCAGTATTCTTAATGAGGTATCATCGGATGTCTCAGGTCTTGTTGTATTTTTTAAAATGAAGTATCATCAGATGTTCTTGGCCTTGTGTTATTTATGTGGTATCATCAGATGTTCCAGGCTGTGTAGTATTCGTTATATGGTATCAGCAGATGTTCCAAGCCTTGTGTTATTCTTTATGTGGTATCATCGGATGTCCCAGGCCTCATGTTATTCTTTATATGGTTTCATCAGATGTCCCAGGCCTTGTAGTATTCTCTATAAGGTATCATCGCATATTCCAGGCATAGGATGTCCCAGGCCTTGTAGTATTCTCTATAAGGTATCATCGCATGTTCCAGGCATAGGATGTCCCAGGCCTTGTTATTCTTTATGTGGTATCATCGGATGTCCTAGGCCTTGTGTTATTCTTTATGTTATTTTTTAAGAGGTTTCATCGGATGTCTCAGAGGCCTTGTGTTATTCTTTATGTAGTATCATCGGATGTCCCAGGCCTTGTGACATTCTTTATGTGCTATCAGCGGATGTCCCAGGCCTTGTGTTATTCTTCATGCTGTTTATGGCGTTTTATCTTTCAGGTGGATGCTGCCTTAGGGGCAGAAGAGATGGTGGAACAGCTGACTGAGAGGAATTTGCAGCTGGAAGACAAGATTGGAGAAATAGAGGAGGAGAAGAATGATCTGGTGAGGAAATATTTTGGCATATTGATGTTTTAAGTAGTATTGTTACATTTTTTTAATGCCTCTGTTTGTAGATTTTTATCTATCTGCCAACACACAGAGAACTAATAGGAAGAGAAATAATAGGAATTAAAGGTTGAGGCAGGTCCAAGATAACAGAAGGTACTTTCCTCAATAGTTCAGTCTCGAAGAATGGATACACCTGTTTTGTTTTTTTTCTACCTTTTAAGAAATACTAACTTCTTCATCTTTTTTATCAAACATCTATCGTCCTTGTCTCTCTTCCTTTTTTTTGTATGTTACTTTCTAGTAACTTCTATATTCTTCAATACTCTTATGTCACTCATTTGTTTTGCAAGTGCTGTTAAACTCTATTTAAACTAAATCTAAAATAACTAACTACAAATGCAGAGTATAATTTGTTTTGATGTTTGTTTACATTCTTGCTTGGACCTATGGTAATAAAATGTGCATAACTTCCAACCGGCATATATAAAAACGTACTATTTAAAATGTTTTTGAGGGTCTGAATATGGAAGTCTGTTTTGGGATAGGAAAATATGTAGTCTCCGTTTTCTAGTTTTGCTCCTCTCGAACTTGCCAATGATAAAGAACCATAGTTATCTGTTGAGCATGAATTTATTGGATGCAGAAAAATGTGTGTTAAGAGTTTGGCCAATGCCCACCATCTTTACCTGCCTTGTAGGAAGAGTCTAATATTTGCTTTTGAACAGTTTTGAATACTTATTGTTTAAAAGAATGTCAGTTGCTGCACTTTCTCATTCGATGATCTTGTATTTTAGTCTTTGTAAAGAACTAAAGTACTTTCAGAATGTCCAAATAACAAATGAATGTATTGGGTGTATTTTTATGTATTTTCCAGGAAGCCCTGAATGACATGAATGAAGAGTTACAGGAAAACGCCCGAGCCACAGAACTGGAACTGAGGGAGGAGGTGGACCTGAAGAGTATCAAGCTGCTAGAGGTATGTGAGGTTATGAAGTGGGTTGTCATCAATATCACGCTATGTAATTTATGATCTCCTCAAGTGCCTGTTTTCGGGACTGGTAACCCTAGGTTATTTATAGTTATAAAACAGACTATTTTAATCTTCATTTGTTGCAATATCATTACTAGCAAAATTGCCCAACAGGCAGAAAAATAGCATTTTTAAGATTTCATTATTTTTACAAGTGCCATATTTCACCACGATGCCACACATTTATTCACTTTGACTGTGGAATAGCATTTTGTTTGAAATTATTTAAGGAGTGTATAAAAGCAGGACAGATATGATTAAGGGATTGAATTTGAAATAGCTCTTCAGTGGGGGAGGGGGGGGCCGCTTTGATTCATGTTATAACCTTTTAAAAAATGCTGTCTCCTGTCTTTTTCCAGCTTCAAAGGAAAATAGATGCCAACCAAGAAACATTTGCTGACTATGATACTACCCTTAACAAGTTCCGTGATCTGGTGGCCAACCTACAGGTAGTTTGCTTCTAAGGCGGATCTGTTTTTCTGAAGCATTTCAGGTGATAAATGAACAAAACAAAAGAAAAGGATTTTTCATAATTGTTTTTCAGTATTTCTTTTACAACTGGTTCTGTGATACAGACTTAATTTCATGTATTATAATGTGAAAGAGGAAAAAGTGATAAGCGTCCTTTGTGTATTTATTTTTCCGGGCATGTTTTTCAGGAATATATCGCTTTCTCATGAAAAGTAGGAGGGGGAGCTCGTAATTTTTTTTCCTATTGGCAGGCTTTGAAAATGAAAAAGAAATATGTCTGAGATGCAAATATTTCAGACTCCAGACTATCGATCTGTTTATTGGCTACAGTCCATTATGTTTTATTTGTCTATTTTCACAATCACAGGAGCAGCTTCGAAACAAGCAGCAGGAAACTGAAACTAAAGTAGAGACTCCCACTGTGGAACTGATGGACTTCAAGACAAAGTTTGCTGAGACTAAGGCCTATGCAAAGGTTTGTATCATCATCCAGTGCCAGATCTACGACAGACATCGGCGATCATGGTTTTCCATTCATTCCTTTGCTCGGCTGCTCTCAAAAAAGCTACGTTTCCCTGATCTTTCACTGTTACCCATTTGTTTTGGTTCCCTAAGTATGTTATTCTGGGCCTACCCCTGCCTCGCTTGCCCTCAATTTTGCCAGTGAGAGCTAGATGTTCAAGACCCTTATGTCTATTCAGGTGTCCCAAAAACTGCATTTGTCGTTTCCTGATTGTTTTGAACATTGAGCGTCCCGAGCACTTCATCAAGCACTACCTCATCTTTAGTGATTGTCCAGCATTCACAGCCTTATAGAAGGGTTGACCAAACATAGCATTTCAGGACTTTCATTTTGGTGTTCATTGAGATGTTTCTATTTTTCAGGATTGGGCTCATTAAGATTTGTATCAGTTCAGTCTAATAGACCATGCCATTCATTCACTAGTCTGATTTTTTAAATATTGTGCAAATGATATGTATACGTTAGTAGTCAATTCTCACGATGTTATGGTAGCCTTTTTTTTTTCCATCGCAAAAGACTATTTTATATGATATATATGTCATGTGGTGATTGCACATGTGACTGTCCAGGCTAATGTGTGCCAGACAATGCTCATGTCAGTGAATGCAAGAAATGGCTGATATTTTGGGCTGTGTGGTTACAGGTATTGTATGTGTTCCTTCATGTAACATCTTTCTTTTTCATCTTGAGCCAAATAAGATCAAGGCTGGAGTTGTCTCCATAGAACAGATGTTACAAATGATTAAAAACAAAGGTTCAGTAATCTTTTGAACTGAAGCCATTCTGTGACCAAGTGTTCATTATTCTCAAACAGAGTAAGCAGACAAATGAAAGTTTTCAGTGCTTTGAAAGAAGTGGGATATTAAGCCTACCTGTCCTGGGCAACAACGTCATTGCACACCGGACAGGTCCATAAGTGCTCTATTCCCCCCAGCACCAAAGCCCGCAAGGTATCCATACTGATTGTTCCGGTGGCTGTCTGATTATGGCGCTTTCACCCCTAATCAATATTCGGGTTGGCACAAAATCAGGCACATTATGCTGAGTCAATCACAGAAAATGAAGAGATTTTTGCTTGCTATGACTTTTAAAAATGTTATATCTGTATATATAAGTCAGTTCTTCAAGGAGCTTAGAATAAAAAAGCTCTTATTGTCTCCAGACCATTGACATGGAGCTTCGTAAGCTGGATGTGCAGCTGGCCAATGCTCACATCAAGATGTTGCTCTCCTTCATGCCGGAGGCTTTCATGGGACGTGGAGGTAAGATATTCTTGTCTACTACTCATTTAGTAGCCACAGTCACTCATTGCATGGCGCAGATTATGTTTATTGGTTAGGGTTGCTGATTTATCAAAGGGTGCTTTGTTGCAATTATTGAGTTGTAAAAGTAGTTTACTGCAAGCAAACAGGATGATTAACACATTGAAAAAAAAAAAGGTATTATAGTAACCCACAGTGAATGTAGAAGAACCCCCCCAACTTGAGGGCCCTCCATTCATTCACCAGTGGATGCTAAAAGAGTGCTCCTGGTAAGCCTTGTTCATTTTCTGATATTGTTGTCTATCATGGTTTCACTGTCAGAGCACAGAAGCATTATTACCATTCTCTCTTTCTCGTCTGGCGCTGTGACGTCATAAGCGATCAGCGATGCTGACAGCATGCGGGAACTCAACACTTGCTCGGGGGTCCTTAAAAAGTGCTGAACGTGGGTCACTGAAATGTCCCAGCAGATTATTACCATTAGGGAGGAAATGTAGCAGCTATCACTGCATTAAATTACCATTTTCTTCAACTCGGCTAAAGTTTTAAGAAAGATGAAAGTGGCTATTGGTAATGGCGTATTTCTTCAGGGCTGGGCAAACAGCATTGCATCCTGTTAAGCATTTTCCACTATCATTCATGTAACACTCACCTAGATGCTTGGAGTCAAGGTCAGCTTGTTTTGTATTAATGCATGTTGTCATGATGATGACATAAAAAGGGTTCACCATAATTTGTTCGTGTGGTGCTTTTCCATGTATCTCCTAGGTGACCATGATGCTATCGGTATCCTGTTGATGATTCCCCGCATCATCAGCAAGTGTGAGCTGCTGGCCTCTCAGCTGAAGGACAAGGTGAGTCATCCGTTGCACAGGAAAGTGCTGGTTAGACGGTGCAGCATTAGTCTGTGGGTAGCAGCAATATGAGAAAAATTAGGGAGAGTGAAACGATTTGACAGATGCCGTTACTAAAGAGCTTGCACTCAAGCCCAGAGGAAAGTGAACATGCTATTCTTTATTTTAATTATTAGTTTGTGTTAAAAATCGATTTTTGACCATAATAGCCCTACAACTCAGTCGGAGCAAATGCGTCTTCCAATACTGTTCTTTAGGCATACACACATGTACTAGTGGGATTCATGACAAAAAAAGAAAAAAAAATGAATTATCCTAAGACAAGGATTTGGTCATCCTTTACCACTGGAATTTAATATAATTTTCACGCCATTTCAGTTTGAAGTCTCTGAGAAGATCGAGAGAGACCATGTCTTGAAGACCCACAGGGCAGAACAATGCAGTTTTGCTAACCACTTGATCTTGTTGCTGAATGCTCTACAAGGATGCATGCGACAGTATGAGAGGTAAGACAGGGATTCTCTTAGTTATTAGAAATTGTTTCTTAATCACTCAGGAGACATGAGTAGAAGGCATCTTGGATGTAAAGAATAGTAATATGTGAATTTTGATGTCCAGGGTTTCTGTTTCAAGTGAGGTTTTACTTTTGTCTGTATAGGTTACTTTTATTCTAAAGATTGGTTACTGTTAGTTTTTTCAAAAAGACATTGTCTTCTTGGGCTTGGTTGAATGGGGGTGGGGGGTTGTAATGTCCTTGTAAGCCCTAAGAAATTATCTTTTTTACAAGTAGGAATATGAACTTTATTATTTCAGCAGTAGATACCTCAGATATTACAAACAAGAACTCTAATCTTTATGTAAAAAAATTTTCTTTTGTTCAAAAGAACTTTTCGAAATTCATGTAAAAACATTACTCTTTGTTTTTAAAAATACATTTACATATTTTTTTTTTTACTTTGAAAAGAGTGGGTTTTTTAGAGGTCTTGTATGTTTTTAACATTCCCAGTGCTCTGAACAACTGCAGCAGTGACCTATTCCTTAAAGTTGGAACTCTGCAGCCAGAAATGGCTGCCCACGAGAAATCTGTGGACTACTTTATTGATCTCCTGCGAAAAGATCAGGTATGACAGAGAGTTTGTATTTATTGGGTGGGGGTATAGGCTTCCTTTTTGTTGTTGTGAATGACTGTATACTGGTTTGTCTTAGTCACCATGTCCATTCTGATGGAAAGACTTTTTTTGTAGTATGTTGTGAATTTCTGGGGTTTGAAACTACTACCATACTTTCAATGTGTTTTCTTTTTCTTAATGAATTAATGTTTAGGTGAGACTGTAGGTTTTGAGACATAGAAGTGGTTGCTCTTTGTACATATGTCCATTGTTGTTTGTGCTTGTTAAATGTCTATACATGCTCTAGATGATATTTTATGCTATAATATTTTGAGCTATGTTTTTTTTTTATTGTTCAGTTGGATGAGACAGTGTCAGTTGATCTTCTAGAGAAGAGCATCAACTTCTTCCAGGTTCGTTGGCCTCTTTTTGTTGTGCATTAGTTTCTTTATACAGAAGATTATTAAGAAATTTGACATACATTTTAGCTTCTGTTGGCAGGAACATGCAAGAATTTTAAAGTAGCCAAGACTTAACTCCTCAATGTGGGCTTCTTTGTTCAAATTATAATTGTTTTAAGTTTGAATAGGACACAGCATTCCAAGAGATGATGGTATTCAATGAAATATAGACCATGTAGAAAACAAATTCTTCTGTTTTGCATGTAAAGCGAAGAATGTTTAATGTTTCCAGATATCGCCATAATTAGGCTTCGTCAGTTTGAATAGTCATTAGTGTTTTGTATGTTAAAGGTTCCTAGGTGTGTCTTTTTTATTTAACATAGCTGCTACTTTCCCGCTAAATAGCGGAAACTCCGCTTCATCTAGCTCTCGGTCGCAAATTGCTATGCTTTTTTTTTTTTACACGCGGAAAACACCGAACCAGGAGAGAGACGAAAACGCGGCTTGCGCATGTCCACCCGTAGCTTTCTACTTCCGTTCTTCTTTGCCTAGCGCTAGTTTCACTTTTTTTATTGTGGAGCGACAGTGTCGATCGGGGATCGGGACGTTGGCGCGCCGAGTTGTCATTGAAAACGGCGGAAATTTGAGAGAAATTGATGCAGAATGCAAAAATAAAGGGAGCTGGAATGAGAAAGAAGCAGCCGGTGTGCGACTTTAAAAGTTCATTAGAAAATTGAACGAGCCGCTTGCTGCACTTTGCGTTTGGTGCGATATAAAGAAATCGCGGCACTCCTGTACAATTGCGGTCCGGTTTGTTTATATGACGGCTATTGTGGCTGTGGAAGTGAATCTAGATCTAGATAATCTATCTTTAGATATAATCTAGATCTACTCATATTTAGATATCTAGGTCTAGATTAGATAGCCTAGGCTATAATTTTATTTCAGTTTAGATTAGATCTCTAAATAAGAAACACACTACAGGGGCACTAAGTGCAAACGGGACCGCAATTGTACAGGAGTACTGAAATCACTCAGTACAGCGGCAAAGGTGTTGCCTCCTTGATCCAATACTGCTGTACATCGATGTACAAGTTTAAATTAAAGTGAAAGAAATCTTTTTATGAGACAACAGCTGGCAACAAACACTGGATTTTTAGGCCATTCAAAAATTGACTCAAATGCTTGTTAGTCAACTTACTGCCTTTGGGGTTTGTTTGTTTGTGGGTTTTTTAAAATACATTTTAATTCAGTTGCCTATGGTTATCAAATATGACAGTTTTTCTCTTCCAAAACCGTAGGTTAGATTTTCCAGAATATATTGCCTCTGGATCTCAGTTTTTACTCCGGCCTTCGGAGAGCGCGTGTACACTTTTGCGTGAATTTCCTCCTTTTTTGAAATTCCTGAGTGGCAGCTATGATTTAACTAAATATTTCATGGATGTGCATTATTCATTGAAAAAGATGTTTAGAGTGTAAATACTGTGCTCAAATGAGATAGAAAGGTTATTTGAAAAGGATCTTTGCATTAAACAGAAAATGAGAATGACACAAGGCTACCTTTTGTTGCATTAAATAGCAGCCATAAATATTCAAAGAAATGGGACACACTTGAGAACCAACAGATGATGGACGCATACAGCAAAATCTTCCTCAGATCCTGAAGTCGGAATACTGAGTCAAGTTGCATCTCTGTATTAAGCTGTTGTTGGAGATAATAAATGTACACAAAATACTGAAAAACAAACTTTTTTTATAGACAAGATGGAAGTTCAAAGTTAGAAATGAATAACCATTGTAAAAGAGACAGAGAATCAATGTTATCTTTGATGAAAGGTAAGTCCATAAACAAAAAAGACATTACAATGGTACATGATAAATATGTAATGAAATGGAAGATGTGATGTTCTCTCATTGATTTCATGAGAGGATTTGTGTTTTGAGGGTTAGTTTTGGTGACATCTTTGTTTTTTGCATCCCCTGGCAGCAATTGTACTCAGTTCACCTGTCCCATGAGAAGGTCGACTGCACCTACATGATGGGGGATGATGTCAAAGTTGTTCTCTCTGCCTGTGATGCGATATCGACCGAGACCAGCCGTCTCAAGGTTTTGCTGTTGGTGAGTAAAGTTGCTTTCGACAGATTCCTTTACGTATTTCTAAATGTCTGAATGAGATGTCACTTCCTAGATCCTCCTTTGTGGCTAATGCTATTGTTTCCAAAGATAAAAGGAGAGTGGGTGACTTTTTCAGTTTTCTCCATTGGCTGTTTTAACAATCTTTATCTGCCCATATCAAAGCAGCAACTTTTTAACACTTTGCGGTCTCTTGGCGCAATAATGCGCTGATGAAAATTATCCATTCTGGTCACCTGACGCAGAAGCCCGAGAAGTCTGTTCAGTCTCTCTCCTGTCTGGGTGTCCAGATGGGGTATTTTGTACTGCTGGCTGTGTGACTGCAAAGTGTTAAAATGTTCTTCTCTTGTCTATAACCTGCCTGAATTCTCTACAGTAACACTATGGAGTTTTATACTTAGTTGCTGATGTATTGTTTCCATCTTCTTGACTCTCTACATTCTCAAAGACAGATGGCAATGTGTTTAGAAAAGAAAGCAGTTTGTCTTTGATTTACTTTGTTAAACTGTATGTCTAATATTAATTCTTTTTTTTAAAAATGTATATGGGGATGGGTAAGGGGGTCAGGCTTGGTCTTATTGTATCCACACCCTTGATATGTTCGTGAAATGGCTGCTTTTAATAATTGCATTAGATGAAGGTTTCCTTGATGTAGAAAGATTGCTTGATGTAGAAAAGTTCCTTAATGTAGAGAGATCCTTTCTTTGCTATAGAGAAATCTCTTGCTATAGAGAGATTGCTTGCTATGTACCTTTGTTAAGCCTGTGACTTGTTTCCCCAGCCTGGCCAGGAGCAGAGCGAGTTCTCAATCCTCCTCAAGGATCTGGAGACCTGCAACAATGACACACGTACTTGTGCCAGAAAGGTAGGCTATCTGTGGAGCCTTCTGTGCTCTGTGGATATTTGTTAATGTGTGTTTTAAATGTTTTGCTGTGTGTGCCACATAGGTTAGCCCCGAAGCATTTGTTACTGCTGTTGCACCAAAATGTTAAGTGTTTAAATTCTCTCCAACACAAATTGTAATGAGTTCCAGTTAAACTGGTCTCTGAAAATAGCCAAAGAAGACGAATTTGTCGTCATTTTGGCTAATATAAAGAGGACCTCCTTTGGAGAAGACATAAAATTCAATCTACTGAGTGGGTTTTTGGTAGGTGGATTGGTGTGGTCAGCCTCATCTGCTTCTATTTACGTTTTAAAACATCACCATTACAATGACTTGTTCAAAGTAAACTACTTTACAAAGTCTAATTCTTCCACATTGAAATGTATGTGTCACTAAGCTGTTTTTGGGCTGATGAAGTTATTGGTATCATCTAAAAGCCTGTCCTTTTGCCTTGCGTTTGATGGAAAAAATAACCATCTGTTGTGAATAGAAGTTGAGATATTTTTTATTGAAGGAAATGGGGGGTCGCGTGGTGTCAGATGTAATATTGATGAGAAAATGGCGGCCAGTTTGGTGATTTCCAAAGCTGTAGTGTCCATGAAACTCCAAATTTACTTTTTTTTTTAAGTTGATCAGTATGATTCCACTATATCAGGACACATAAACATAAGATTTTTGCTGTACGGAATTTGTGTTTAATTGCTGTTGTGCGAAGCGTATCTACATTCTCAAGTCAGTGAATGAGTTCATGGAGAATTAAGAGAGCTGTAAAGGTAAGGGAGGGAGAGAGAGAGAGTAGGTCCATTTACTAGTTATATAAGTACTGTTAATCTCAACTAGAACAAATTTCTGATTGTGGGGTCAATAAAGTTGATCACTGTCAATGAAAACGGCATAGTGATGTGTGTTTGGATGGTTATATTTTTACTTGGTCAACATCTATCAGATCAAGAGAAGACTACCACAAGAGGGATCTGCCGTTGCCACGCCTCTCAAGTATGGCAAAGAGGTGAGAAAAGTGAATGCTTTTGCAGTTGTCTTACTTGTTCCTTAAGCAGAGTCTTTTGCTGTTGGGCCGTATATTTTCACTATTTATGTTTTTAACATATGGATGTCTGACGCATCTTTAACCTGCTTGGCATTTCCAATGTAAAAATTTTGTACAGTAATCCATCTACTCTGAACATCCCACAGTCCAGTTCACTTTAAACCCGTCTTTCCAGATGAAAACATGTTGCAAATAAAACTCTCATTTATGATCTCAGTTTGCCAAGATATGACTCGGTCAAATTGTTGCTTTTCTCATTCATAATGTAAGTGAGATTTTAATGCACATGGCCTTCTCTGGCTATGGCTTTATCTCAGTTAACTCACATCCACTATAATCATTAAGAATTGAAGTATCAAATTGTGTTGAACTTGATCATTGCCATGTGACAAAGGTCTAGGCCTAGTATGATGATTGCTATTTGTGCTGGAGGTGTCAGTCTCAGTAAATGTCATTACTGTCATGTCACTTTGATAGTTGACTACCCCATCTTTTGATAGTTGACTGCCCCATCTGACTCTTCATAGTACAAGTTGAATGTCAGAATGAGAATGATGATTTTTATTATTGCCTTGGTTCACTTTATCACAAAAGTACCTTTTGATTTCTACATTAACATTCATTGTGAAAGATTCAAGGGTCAAGCCCTTTTCTACCTTGTCAGAATGTACCAAATTTGAAGCTTCAAATGAAACCAACTTCTTTTGATTCTTTCAGGAAGGGAAAACGTTTTCATTTAGAAACAGGAAGTTTGTCATTTCTTCTTTTTTTAATTTTTTACTCTTTCACATCCATTGCTTTAACTTTTAAATGAGATATATATTTGTGTATAGAAAAGCATCAAATCAATGCAAATCAACACGCACACGCACACATTTTCAGAGATCTGACTCTTTGTTTACATTATACTTATAGATACAGGATCTCCTGACTGATGCCTGTAAGCAGATCGGCTCAGTTGCTCGGGTGTTGAAGATTGTGTCTGCTGGCGCAATGCAGCAGGCGGCTGTGATGACAGGTACATGTTTTGTTTTTTGTTGCCCTTTTCATTATATAACAGATCCTTTTAATTTACCCTCAGTCACACTTTCCAGGTGAACAAGCAATGTAAGAGTTTTACATGATTGACAATCTGGCTTAAAATTGCTTTAACATTGCAGTATGCTTTTGCCTCAAATATTTGTTTCAAATTGTTTGTATATATTTATTTATCACTTGACCAATCTCAGAATTTGAAGGATTCTGAGTATGCGCTCTAGCTAATGTTTTTTGCTCTCAGTGCTTTTTTTTTTTAAAGCAATGCCATTTTGACCAATCAAGCTGAAACAAAGGTATTGAGGGTAACTGTTTTTGGCTTTGCCGTTTGCCTTTGCCGTCAGATGTTAAAGAAATTGATTATGCCATATGTGCTTAGTTTGAATGTCTTAATTAAACAAAGCATTAATCTGTAAACTGTGCTTAAATATCATAATCAAATGTTAATGTATAAGACTTCAGACTCCACATTAATGCTTGTTCAATAATGTTAAAACAGCAATTCTAATTTGTTAATGTAACTGATATTATGGTCGGGAAGTTTTTCAATTTGTCAGCAAGGGAGTTTTTGTAGATTTTGTGGAGGCCTTGCCCTACTACATTCACTTTGAAAAAAAGAAGAAAGCCATTTGAGTTGCTGAGTTTGTTGAGGCCAGTTGTAATTATTTGGATGAAGTCAAAATCATGGCTTCATCAAAAGTGCATCACCTTTCTTTTGCAGTATGTTCTTTCTTAATATGCTGCTTCAACTGCAAAGCCATGGCACGTTAAATGTTGATCAATGTGCAGTTAAGCGTTGTATTGTTTCAGGTTTAAATAATTTATTTCACTTTGTTGGACTGAGTTGGACAGAGAAGTTACTCTATTTGAGTTTACGGAAAAAAATCTTACAGAGATAATGTGGAAAATCTTGGTAATTGTCTCATAACAGGGGACTTATTCCATTTTTGTTCTGTTCACTCAGTGAGTTGGTGCTTTGAGGATCAGTTGGTTGTTCCTACTTCTTTCCCTTCTACAACTACTTTTGCTGCCTTTTGTTCTACCGTGTAACAGGTGTTGTGTTGTGTGCTTGTTTATTACCCATATGGATTGTCTAGCAAAGGAAATAGAGTGAGTGGTTGAAAGTTCAGACTTGTGGGACTTACATATTTTCTACCTTCCTGTCGTTTCATTCTGTCTTGCTTTTCCTCAGAGCTCAATATCCATGTTCAAATCGATGTGCTTCTGCGTATGTGGAACAAAAAAAATATAAACAGACAAATAGTCTTGGGTCTGCTCATATGTTATTTACATTGCGTTGTCTTACTTTTTGACAAACTTTTCTTGACTAGCGTCTGTGGTGTTATGTTTAGGCTTTTCATTTTGCATGCAAAAGATATGACTTCGATGGTGGCATGGGTACGATGTTTTATCAAGTACCTCTGCCTTTATGTTGTTATGTAGAATCATTCACAGATAAGGTCTAAGCAGCCCTCCTCCTAGATGGTTTAGTTGTGTGGAAGGGTGCGTAAAACATTAATAGTCCTTACCATCTATCACTGATGGTCCTCTCAATGTTAATGTGTATGTTGAAAATTCGGACATCATTCTGTAAGATTGGTAGGTAATGAAAAAACCTACTATACATGAGCAGAAGATGCTACTTTCTTACGCAAGTCAGGCTCACATAATCATATATGTTCAAGTGCATATATATGTGTGATATTCATTACAGTGTAGTGTACCATCTTTGCTGTCTTTCTTAGCGCTCTCACTTTGAAATAACCTGTCTGTGTCTCGGAGGTGATAAAACAATACAAAACAAACTGAACAGGGCTAAGTATGGTCTGGTCACCTTGTAAATGTATTGGGTGGATATCCCTGTCTGTCCTCCATCATGATAGTTCATTGCTGCACTGATGAAAGCTTTCGTTTCTGAGTCGTGGAAAGCTACACTTCTTATTCTATTCTCGCCCTCGCGTTCTATTGCTTGTGTTGTTTCTTTTGTGAATTCTATTTACCTCTCTTTATGTAGTGAAGGCCTATGAAATTTCCACTATTATCTTCACTGGTTCTCCTCCTGTTCAGTATAATTTTTATTCTTTTCGATTTTTCTGGCAAAATGTAAGTCATCTAGCTGACTTGTCGTCATTTACCACTCTAGTTTGAACAGCAACATCATCACTATTTGAAGTAACAGACAAACAAACCAGCCAACTGATTATCACTCTGTTTGTTCCCACCAAGGTGGTAAACTGTACGAGCTGGAGCAACTGTTAGGTAAAATCCCTGTTCCCCCTGTTTGCCGACTGATGCATTTTGGGTGTTCTCTGACTAGCTAGAGCCCTCCAAGTGAGGGGAGAGAGAGACTTCCATCTCAGCATGTGATTAACATGTTGCTCCTTTGTGTCTATCAAAAGGATGACTCTCTTGCATCCCATATCATGTGTGTTTGTATGTGTGTGTGTGTGTGTGTGTTTTCGCTTGCTGCTCGGACCCTCTCCAGAAACTTGTTTCTTAAGAAAGCTGGTAGTGAAAAAAAGTTGTTTGTATTGCTTGTGGAATAGTTGCATCAACTTGGCCTTTTTGTTTCCTAAAGGTTAATGTATTATTTGTTTCAGTCTTATTTGTTTGTGGTCTGTTTCTGGGGTTTATTTTTTAAATTTGGTTTGTTCTGTTTGTTATTTACAGTCTATAGTGTTGTGCAATAGACTTGATAAAATTATGGAATTATTTTTTTTTAACTTTCCTGATTGGAAGTGTTTTTCCTTTTAAAATATTCATTTTAGCATCATGGTTTGTGTCATGTGTTGTTTTGTGTACTAATAATAGTCTTTTTGTTTGAAGGCTTACATTCACAGGAGGATAGTTCTTCTCATTTTCCCTTTCCCCTTTCTCTCTTCTCCCCTTCTCTTCCACCTTTCTCTCTTTTAACATTGTCTTTTATGCTGTTCATTCTCTTTCTCTTCTCGCCTTTCCTTTTTCATTTTCTTTCTCTTTTCCCCATGTGCTTACCTTCCCTTGTTTTTCTATTTTTGTCTTCTCATACTGTGCTGTCAGCTGAGACTTTTTACATCTTCTGTGCCACTCTGTCTTCTTCTTACAGGACCATGTATTTGCAAAAACGCTCCTCCCAGAGAATATGAATTTGCTAAGTGGTTTCAAATGTGTAATGAATTCGACATTTCCAAGTGGCAACCAGAATTTTCTTTATCAGAAGACGATTGTCACATCGTAACCTCATAACCACTGACATTTCGTTCCGCTCATTTGAATTTCAGAGTCTAGTTCTAAGTCATCAGGTATTTGTCTTCACATAAATGTTTACCAAGTACTCGGCCTCATGCATGAGGGCCCCAGCTTCTGCTTACTACTCTACTGCTCCCACTATGCCCAGGAGACTTTCACACCATTGATGATATCGATTTTTACACAAATTACTCATAATCAAAATTTGTATTATCTTAATACCATATAATGTCATTTCTCTATCATTTTTTTTTTCAGCATTCATATAAATATTAGACACTAACTGCATGAAGACTTCACAAATATATGGCCTTAGCAAGGTACAACTGCTTCTATTTTCCGCGAAGCATTCAAGTTAACGTGTTTCCTTGGATTAGTGAGACAGGGAGAATGTAATATTGTAACACGATTTTCTGTCTAAGGAATTTCGTTTATGTCAGCTGGGGCTCGAATGCGTGATCCAGTGAACAGGAGAGATAATCTGGCATGGAGCATTCTTAGATTTTAATGGATAAAATTTAATGTCTATGGTTCACAATTTTAGGAATATTCTCGGGATATTCTTGAAAGTGTTTGCCATTCACTTGGTCTCCAGGACTTCATGTAGAACTAGGAAATTTACGCAGACAGGATATGCAAATGTAGTGGCATGCTCTTAACTGGCTACAACACTGCATGTTCCTGGATGACTGATATGGTAACCTAGAAAGAGCTGATCAATGGATAGAGTTATTTTGTATGCAAGTGAGTCCTCATTCTGAAGGGATGAATGACTATCAAATGTGAATTTGGCTTCTTACGTTAAGATGTAACTGGCCTCTAGATTGGCTTTTAATGCATCAGAAAGAAAAGTATGGCGACCATTTTTCTAAATGTCATTACAGAGCACTTGGTTATGTACCATGTACATCTGCTGTTTTTATGCATAATGTTCTGGCCACATTATCATCTCATGCTCATTGGGACTAGACATGTAGTCATTACTGACCCATCTGGTTTCTTTTCTCCTTACCACTTTGGTTATTTCGCTATTGATCAATTGCCATTTTTAACAAAAATTATTTCCTCAGTTAATTTGTTTTTCAGTGAACATTTCACTGGCTTCATGTTTATATATATCTGCTTCCATTTATGAATTCAACTGTTGTTTGTCTTATATACCTGTTATGTGGTTATGTTTTTTTTCGATCTGTGGTTTATGAGTTTTACTCAGTGACCTCCTGTCTAGCTAACACGCTTGGCTTTGTTATGAGATGCCTTGAAGTGAATGTCCCTGGTGGTTTGGAGACACACTTGCTAATCTCTCTTTTCTCTGAGGAACCTTCAGACTTTCTCAGTAACCTATGTGGGACAAGGGATAGCATGATGGTTGGGTTTGATGTGGGAGGGGTTTTGAAATAATGTCGTGGGTTTACTCACGTTTGTGTGGTTATGTGTCTGTATCTATTACTATGTTTCTGTGTGTGCATGTATATGTCTGAAAGAGAGGAGGGAATAACTTTTTGTGAATGTATGTGTGTGTGTATGTTGGGAGAGGGGTAGGGGGGGGGGGGGGGGGGGGGGGGGGGGGTAGGTGTGGGTTTAGGATGCAAACAGGGAGAAAAGGCATGATATCAAGAGAAATGCTTGTGGATAAATACTGGCAACTGTGTTTGCTTCTTCGGCATGTGTTATTTCAGCTATATCAACGACTGATACTAAAAGATCATGACTAAGCTCTCTAACTGTGTGTTTTTTTAACTGTGTATTTTCTCAGAGATGTCTACTTTTAAGTCACTGAAATTTTATATGGAAAACAGTATCATAAAGAATAGTATTAACAGAGCGTCAAGAACGCGTCTGTAGTATTTAAGGGATATTTTTAAAAATTACGTCTGCTAAAGCTCTTTCCTATTTCTAGAGCTCCTTCATTTTTCAGACTCTGTCGCAAAAGATGGCACTTTCATTCGGTATTGAAAGAGCAAAGAGAAAGCATTTCTTGTAGGATTCTGTTAATGTTTAGAACAGTTTTTCTGAAATATTTAAAGGGACTGTAGCTGCTGAAATTACAACATTCAGAGTATGGTGATCATAAGTCATGAGAGACAAGCTAATATTTTAAGAACTCTCTCAATAGAATGTAATAGCTCAGTTGTGCAAGATCAGTTTACTGGCATCTGTGATGTAGTAATTAAATGCTTGGCTGTTGTATGCAGAAGATCCGCGTTCGATTCCCGTCTGGGGAGAATTTTTATGAATTATCTTGGTCATTCTGCTGGGATGCCATTTCCCTCTTTGCCCGGGTTAGCCCTGACAGGCATGGTCAAAGGCCACCTCTAAAATTGTCTAAATTGTGTCGAAAAGGGTGTAAAAACACCTTTTTTTTTTTTAATTGAGCTGTCTTCCAGCCTGTTGAAAAAGACTTTTTTTTTCATCTCCCTAAAAGCACCTTGCTTTTTTCCTTCTCATCAAATAAAGTGTATAAAGTAGCTTCCCCATCTTATTTTATATTTCAAGATGTGCTTGCATTTTCTTTTCTTTTTAGGTGTAATTATTTTGTCAGTTTTTTAAGTACCATATAATCTTTATTTTTTAAAGAATTTATTATTTTGGATGCATCATGTAATTTTTTTCCTCTGTACCTGTTCAAGTTTATTACATGTTCTGTGAAATAGTAGCCTACCATAACATCCCAAACTTTGTTTGCCCTGGCTTTAATAAGTTTTGAGCCAACCTTTATTTGATTAAGTAAATGTCACATGTGGGAAAGCAGTGCTCCTTTGAAATATGGAAAAGAAATAAAGGTAACCTTTTAGGGCTGCAAACCCATGCTTATAGTTGAAGGATCTTGATAAAGAAGTTGGAGATGGCGGTAGCAGCTATTATAAAGCACCTACAGCTATTGTATGGGAATGGGCACTATAGAAATTATCTGCATCATATTGTTATTATCGTTGTTGCTTCTTATAAACTTCAAAGCAAGGTCAAGCTCAGTTAGGCCTCAGGTTTTTGTGTGGTAGGCACAGAAAACTGTTAATATCAAAGGGTTCAGCTGTAGACCCATGGTGTCATGCTAAGCCTTTATCCCTTTGAAAATTGTCTGCCTTTTTTGGATTCTAACGTGGAATGAGTTCACTGCATGACTCTTGACTAAAATAGATTGTGTCATGTACACTGTTCATGATTATCACAGAGGTTATGGGGACTTGAGGACATATGCAACAGTCATTTATGTAGAAACGTCATTGCTGGAGTAGACTATACCTAATAATTGCATATATTTGTATGTTCATCAGATAAATTTTCATCTGTTCTTTTTTTTTTAAGTATGATTTTTGCCCCTGGAGTAACATAAAAGTTTAACAACTGGGTCTAACTTATAATATTGTTTTAATTTTAATAGAAAATTTTTCTCAAGGTTTTAGAATAAATATAGTCCATATACTGCTGCCTGCTAATCAAATTATAAAATGTTTAACCTGTTTGATTAGCAGTGGTGTTGTATATTTTAAAGGTATGAGGGTATGGATTTTTAATTGCTAGTGGGTCTACATTGTGATGATATGGTTTAAGTTTTGAAAGATGTCAATGTGGGAGGCACAAATGACTTCAGATTTCTGCCTATCTTTAAGTGTGGTACTCTGAAAATTTGATATTTATGTGTTTCACAGAGGATATTGAGAGGATCCCGTGAGAGGTTCTTCTGTTTTTTATATGCCTGTTTTATGTGATGTTGTCTTTTTGTTCTTCAATTTCTATGAAGCAATTCTTAAGCTCTTCACTTTGCGCACAGCAGATTGGAGTTCAATTTCCACATGGCTAAGATATATAGTCTCCCACTGGATCCTAACAGGCAGGGTCACAGCCCAGAAGCCCGCCTTCCAAATAATTTTTAATGTGTTTATTGAGATGTTGAACATGCAGTCTCTATATTCTCTGTCCGAGGGTTTAAGGACCATCGTCTTTTTTATGTATTTCTCACCCAGTTTAGACCTCAGTTTTAGAGCATGGTGTGCTGTCTTCCCTATGCCATAGCTTGGATCAGTACGAAGCCTCTGTTGATCCGGGCTCAAGAGGAGGCTGAAGACAAACCATTTTATTTGCAACTTTCACTTAAGGGCAAAATTACTTACTGAGAGACTTCAAAGTTGTCATTTTACCTGATTCTTTTCAAAAGAGAAAAATTTGATGCCACTGTTGATGTTACAGGTATTCTCCAGCACCATAAGATATCAATGCTCTGGTACAAAAACAATTGAATAAGTAAATGCAAATCTGTCAAAGAGCCATTCTTCCTCCTTTTTTTAGCTAGTAATTGGATGGTTATCCCTTGTCAGTACTAGATACTGATTGTGACTGGGACTGCTGTCATGGTAGGATTAGTGCTGTGAGCGTTTTGTGCATACAACATTCCTTGACAATGAGAACAAAGATGTTTTTGTGTTTAAAGTCATTCCTGAATTATAATGATCATGTTTTTAAATGTTGGATAATACAGATTCTTTTGTTCCTTGTTTAACTTAATGTGCATCCCTCCACCACCATCACCACTCCATTCTTTGCTTTAAAATTGTATCGGTTGTGTATTCAGTGTCTACTTCCCAATTGGCTATAAACTATCTGATGAGTTCTGAAGTTTTCATTAGAGTATTAGAGGCACCCCTTGAAATAGCTATCAAATGTCTTTTCTTGCCTGCTCTGTCTTATGTGAGATGACATGTAAGTTTGTAACATTTTGTCAAAGCGTGTGGCTGACACCCAGTTTGTTTGTCTGCAGACCGCGAGGGTCTCCTGCCCCAGAAGATGGAGGAGATGGCCCACCAGGCAGCCAGTGAGGTGTACAGTAAGGAGAACACTGGAGCCTACGAGAGTCTCAGGTAACGCACGCTTCACGGGAAGGTTGGCTGTTTCTAATTTTATGGGTAGCTAGTCTGCACAGATTTTGTAAAGATTGGTGTTAGTTCAATCTCATCTAATCCAATTTGCTTATTTGCAAACCAGTTTGCTTTTCTGAGTCAAATTAAATGAATGCTATTCCCATTGTCTTCAAGGTTTCTTTCATGAGAAAGGACTGGTTGACTTTTTTTCAAACCTGAGAAAGTTTGGGACTGTTTATTTTGTCCTCTTTAGGAAAGGGAGTGATGTCTATGGGACACCTCAAACTCTTTGTCATAATTCTTTTTAACTAAGAAATGTGTTACCTAAACAATTGATGCTTTTAGTTATCATTCTATGAAAATAATAGGGCTGATGATACATGTCGTAATGTGGGAAAGTTTTTTTTAAAACATTACAAGAGCTCTGTAGTTAACAGCTAATGTCTGAAAACTTTGGGTATTCTCTATGGTCATCAGTGTCATTGTTGCAACTTTGTACACAGAACTGTAACTCAAATATTGGCGAAAAAAATATTTATAATTAAATAGATTCTGCTTCCATTTCACTATGAAAATAAGGTTGCATGAGGTTGATGTTAATGCAAAACAATTTTCATACAAGAATGTTGCTATTATCTTTATCACTTCTGCCTTTGTAAGCATGCTTACGAGCTTAACTTCATCTCTAACTCAAGAACAGAGCAATCCAGCAATGTGGCTATGATTTTTATAGTTAACAGCTATTTTGTTTTGTGTGATTGTTATGATGTTTTGGTAATATGAACATCATAACAGTGGTCCTTAAAAATGTCCTTGCTTTGTTTCTTTCTGTGAGCAGACCTATTTAACAAATTCAATTTGTGGGTGGTTGACGGATGATCTGATGTGGTCTGCTCCTTCTTTCTTATCAAACAGCTGTTGTCCTTATCTCTCCTCCTTTTTATGTGTTTGTTACTCTCTTGTTACACCTCTAATCTTCCGTACTTATATGACCTAATTGTGTTGCAAGTGTGATACAACTTTTGCTAAGACTATAAAAAGTTCACTTTCAATGTTCTGTAATCTATCTCAAATACCAAACGCTGTATGTTTTTGTTCACAGGCTGTCATTTGGCACTGTTGTGGGCACCATGAACAAACTGGCTAACGCCATGGAGAATGGCGAGTACGACTTTGATGGAACGCACGACAAAAAGGTTGGATATTGTTCATCTCTTTCTTCTTTTTCTGCGTACCCTTGTTAGAGCTCAAGGGTTAACTGACTGTAAGATTTTCATCTCACTGTGCAGCTGATTTTTATGTACATGGCTGTTTTATCTTCATAGAATGTAGAATCATCCCTTGTCTGAGGGGGCAGTCACGTGCTGTTTTCAAAAGTACTCTTAATATTTAAACTGACGAGAGTGGCTTCACTTTTTGGTAAGAATTGATTTTTAAATTTGGCTATAATGCAGTCCAAAGGGCCAACCCTTTTCAATTTTATAACCGCCAAGGCATCTTTGACATGTGGAAATCCCACATAGGACTTCTGAAATTTTCTTTTCACTCAAAAGACTAGGTGCTTCCTAGCTTTCTATCTACCCTAGGGTCATGAAGTATAGAAGCAATGAGAAAAAAATAGATGCTGATGGGGATCGAACTCTAGACCTCTGGTCTAACGGGTGAACAACATACCCATTGAGCTGCTGAGCCCCCTATCTCATTCCTAAAGCTGGTTTACAGTTCATACAGAACTTAATTTTTTGCTACGTTTGCTTCTGCTTTCTATAACATGATATTTTCCTGTTGTTTGAACCATAACTTTTACCTCACCAAAGTTACTACGAGTGCCTTGCACATTGAAAGCATTTTCAACTGGGTTTGACTTTTTTTTTATATAGGGGACCTTCAAGGTCAATGGGGGCTGAAACTTTTGATGTTACACCAACATGCCCATTGCGCAAAGACAGTAGCCTAAAACTGGGATGTCTACATTTGTACATATGGATACCTTTCTGATACGTAGGTATACCCAAAAAGTGGCATTCATCAGTAGTGTAAGCCAATTAATCCCAAATTATGATACCATGAAGTTATTAAGTATTTGAAAAAAAGGCTTTCTTTGTGAGCCTTCAAATTCATTACTTCTGTGGTCTCTGCTGCTCTTTGGAGGTAAGAATGACTCTTGTCTGAGGGTACTGATTGGGTTCATTACTGTTACAATTTTTCGGAGACTGTCTCTTTCACTTTGCAATTGTAGCAGGTATACATGCTGTGTGAACCTGATCTCAATACTAATGCTGAAAATTATTCAAAACGAGGGATAACTGGGTGGTTGGAGAGGGCCTCTGGTAGGTTCTTCCTCATTTCTTTCCTTCTGGTGTTTCTGTCTATCTGTCCTGCCTTTTCCAGCATTAAGTTACCATTACTGTGCCAATGTATTTTCTTTTATTCAAACGAATGGGGGGGGATAAAAAGAAAAATCAGTGTCATGTTTGTTGTTATCGATCCAGCAGTGTCATGTTTAAGTATGTTATTCTGATAATGTTTGTGAAGTGAAGAAAATGTGTATGATATTGCTGTGTGGTTGGTTAGTGTCAGTCATGGTGTGGTCTGTACCTACTGTACCATGTTTGTGTTACTGTTGTCCTTATCATTTTCTGGAAAGAATGTGGCTGTTTCTGACCTGATTTGCTTTAAATTTACTTGTTTACTGGGCAATGGGTGATTGGTGTGTGCTCTGGTGTGGTTTGCTCCTTCTTTTCTATCAAATATACATAGTCTTTATCTATCTTTTTTTTTCGTATATGTTATTCTATTCTCTAATAATAATTCTAATCTTCGGCACTTATATGACCTAATTGTGTTGCTAGTGCCTTAAAACTCTTACTAAAACTTGAATATAAAACTTAAGGGTATTGGGCACCAACAACTCATGAAATTGTTTTGTGGTCAGAAACAAGCACCAGTGAAGCAGAGGGCGGCGGCTGTGAAGGCTCAGTCTGCTGACATTGAAGTGGTCAAGTCCAAGGTGGACCTCAAGGAGGAGGAGGTGAAGGAATTGAAGAAACAACTGAAACTGAAGGTAAGATCTTGTCTCTACTGCTAGTTTCTTTCCACAAATCATTGTTACTAAGCACTCTTTGTTAGTGCTGGGCGGTTCCGGCGAAATTGAGTTCTGGTACTTTGCCGGCACTGGGTGTCGAGTACTGCCAGTACCAGTACTGAGAATAGATGTCAGAAGCTCTGCACGTCTAGTGTTTTGACTGCTGCATTTTTTTCATCAGTCTCCCACCCCCAGCCTATCAGATTACATGATAATTTTCTTAAATTTTCAAAGGGGGGACAAGGGCGCCAAAAGCTGACAAACACGATGTATGTTAGACAAGCCAGGACACAGAATCCCTTTGAAATTTTCTGGTGCACGGGATTAAACTTTAGGAGCAATTTTTTTTAAAAATAAACATCGCAGCTAATATCTGGTTCCGTTTTCGGAATCAGCCTATTAAAATAAGCAAAGTTGTTTTCGGGCACCTGATTTGATGCAATATCTAAGTTTTAACAAACATAATTTTATTTTTAACTGGTTATTAATTTTGATCTTGGTGTCATGTATCAAGCAAGATCACTTTGTGCTTTGTGCTGTACGTCTTACGTCACAGCTTCTGCACACTGCACTGTAACTGCAGCTTTAGTTCCAAGGGCACCACTTGGTGTCGGCACCCTCCCAGTACCGGTACTGGGGGCCTAGTGCCCTTACTGACACCGGTAACAGTAGTACCAGGAGTTCCGATACTTGATCCAGTTCCCGCCCAGCTCAATTATATGTTGTACAGTCAAACACATCCAAGATGGCCATCCGTCATCGAAGGGAAAATGGTCTTCTGAAATCGACTGTCCTCTTGGACAGTGTCATCATAATAGGAAAAAGACTCCTGTGGGAAGTGATCATTTGTACTGGTGATTGATTGTCATAGACAGCGGGTCGTCAGATCAAGTTCGACTATATGTGTGTAATCTGTTATAGATGATTATTACTACTTTTATTTCGATGTATGTCTCCTATAGTTGTTTAAGGCACGTTCTGTAACTTAAATTTAGCAAGAACTCGTTGTGTGCTATTAGTTATAGCATCTGCCTCAGTAGGGCATGACCACTGTAATTGGGGGCTAGGGGACCTCAAAAGTTCAGTGGGGTGCGTAATACGCTCATTGAACATCAGTGTACCAATTTGTCGTCTAATGCTCTTTACTTATTGGCCGTATGCATTGTCTTATACAGCAAGATGAGATGAGTGAGCAGCAGATCCGTGTCGGGCTGGTGGAGAAGAAGCTTGAGAACAAGAACCGAGAGTCTGAGGATGAGGTTGCCAAAATACAACGCAAGCTTGATGACAGCGTTCTCCAGCTTAAAAAGAAAGAGAAGTAAGTGAAAGGCTTCGCGGCAGAGCCAGCAAAATGAAAAATTCTAAATGTAAAAAAATGTATTAAATAGTACTCCTTCAGTCAGTGCAGTTGTAACATGATTTAAATTTCTGACCTGACAGAGGTGGGTGGAGACAATTGGTGACAGAAAATGAATTCTCAGGGTGCTGCTTGAAGCAAGGGGGAGGACAAGTCACATACGTTTTTCTATTTTAGCCAATACATATTTTCCCATGGAGCCGTTGCCACGTAGATTGTAAATTGAAAGAGCATCAAGAAGGTATGTTCATGTAGAAGCTTCTGGATTTTTTTCAGGACTGCAGCCACTTGGCTTTCAGAAAGTCAGTACACTATAAATTGTGATAGGATTGATTAAATTAAGTTTATTTTGAAGTCTTCTAGGTTTCAGGATGTAAAAAGTGCTATTTTTGCCTTTTGTAACATTTTTGTTTTATGTTGTCTCTCAAGAACTGATACTTATATCACATTGTATTTAGTGTGTTTCCTCATGCTGGAAAATTCAAAACTGAAAAGGATACATTTATCAGGTGTCTTGAAAACCCTTTCGTTATGGTTAGTATGTTAGCTCATCCAAAACTGTGAACTGTATGATCGTTGCTTGTAAATTCCAAAACTGGCCGGGAAAAACCCTATCAAAGTTTGGAAAACATTTTAGTAAAGGGCATATGGTCGCTTTTAAGCACAAGGGGGCTATCCCGAAAAATCCTGTTTTGAGAAAATCGAAGGTAAAGTTTTTGCCCCTTGCTCAGTTTCTTTAAAAGACAAGGAGAGTTTTCTGTATAATCAAACAAATATACGCACCAATGAAACCAAACTTCTCCTATAGGTAGCGCAATATCCACTTTTGGTGTAGGTCAAGATTTTTAGAAACCCCCAAAATCTGGGTTAGCCCGTTTGTCCTTAAAAGCAACCATATATTTAGATTAGTAGACTGTATGATCATGGCTCGAACATTTAGAGAGATGTTAGATTATTTTGGTGCCACTCTCTGATCTGAAATTCAAGATGATGAAGTTTCTATGGCAACCACAAGACTGATTATTTTGTAATTTAGTGAATGTTCCTTTATCTTTCAGTAGGTACGAGAAACTAAAAGTTGCTGTATGCCAAATGTATCTGTTCCATATAAAATACAGTAGTCTCCGCCTAAATGCACAGTGCTCGGGAGGGCTCCTTAGCGTGTGTTTATACGGAGCGTGCGTTTACATGAACCTTTGCAAGGGGAGGAAGTGACGCAGTCATCTCAATTCCTTATTACTGTAGTGATCTCCCTTGGAGGAGGGGTCATTTTGGCAGATAATGTGACGACACGTGACTGTTTGGAAGGGGGGGGGGGGGGGGGAGAAAGACAAACTCAATATAATGAATATGCACTATAAACGTCGGGAACAGATAGATCTAGCCTAAGAGGAAACTGTTGAAGATAGTCATAGTCATAGAGACGACGGACCAGCCACGTGACTTTCCAAGCGATCACCCCCGACCGTAAATTTATGCAGAATCATCCTCGAGAAACATTTCCTCTTGTGATTCGTTGAACAAGTACGTTATAAGTTCTTCGAGTGCAGCTTATTAGGCCTACTTGGCTAATCTTTAATCCTGTAGAGGCCTGTCTAGTGTTTTACGGCAATCATGTGCGTTGCGCATCAGGCCTAGATTCTAGATCTAGATCTAACTAAACATTACACGCAGTCACTCAAACTCAAACACCAGTCAAAAACCTTCTCTCAAAGATTCATTTCCAGTAACCAATCAAAAAACATTTCAGTCCCCCCAATCCCATCTCCCCCCTCAACATTTAACCGACCGGCCCTAGACCGAGACCTAGGCCTATGTGTCAGTGGAAAGAAGGGTGTGTGTAAACGCTGTCCATCACTCTCTCCGCACGGCGTGAGGGGCACTCTCACCAAATATCCGGTTTTCTAGTAAATTCTAGGCCTGACTTATGCAGGCTGTGCAGGTTGTAGTGAAAATTTACCCTTGCCAAGCTTAACTTGTCGGCGTGTTTCGCGGATCGGAGCGTGCGTTTAGAGGGAGTGACCGTGTGTTTGTACGTCTAAATTATATAGTAAAAAAAACCGTCAGATGACGAAAGCGTGCGTTTGAGCGGAGCGTGCTTTTGTATGGCGTGCGTTTAGGCGGAGACTACTGTACCTTAATCTCCTTAGAATTTTGGTACTATTCTTTAACCTCTCAATCAATTTTTAAGAAAATGGTAGCTGTTTAAAATTTGATCAAATTTATTAACACATTACACCCAAAGGGCCTGGACGGGAAGTCCATTGTTAGATCCTAAGTAAGGGGAAGGAACCCACCTCCTGTGAATACAAGCCTTTAAAAAAACACTTTTTAAAAATACTAAACAAATTCCCAAAATCCTGAAAAAATAAAAGTTAAAACGAATAATGGATGTAGTTTCAGAAAAATATAACTTTATGTATATGCAAACTGTTGGAAATGTTCTAACTTTAGTTCAATCGGGGTGTCTGACCCGTCACTCTCACTCTCAGCCTCGCGGTCGGGCCCTAGATCTAAATTCTAGATTTTCTACGTCTCATCAATCTGAATCGCCCCAAACTCTTGCTACATCGTTTTCATCATCTGCTTATTTTTGCTCAATTCCATCATTTCCTTTTTCGAACTCAATTGTGTTGCTTTCAACAAGTCGAAACACCTACGAAGTGTCGGTAACGCAATCGCACTTCTATCGGCTCTAGTACTAAAACTACTGGCCTGAAAAATTTCGTTTCGGTATCAAACGAAAGAAGAAACTTTTTGCAATAACTATGCAAATCAAAATCTCAGCCCCAGAGTCTCTTCAAGGCGAGACTTCGTTTCCAAAGACGCTAAGTCTGCACAGGCGAGTCAGGGTGGAGCACGTAAGGGAATTCCCGGGCGGTCGCGGGCGAGTTAGGGTGTAATGTGTTAAAGTCGCTCACTAGCTGCAACCCCATGTTTGACAGATAATAAAAGAGTACTAAGTGCACTAAACATCTCCACATTAACACAGTACAATCACTATAACATAAATATGGAGCCTAATTTTTTCCAAGAATGTAATATCATTACAAATCAGTATTTTATCGCCTCAAACATGATGATCTGTCATTATCCGACAAAAACACAGAGCACTGTCCCAGCCAGCGCCCCACCGACCCCCACGGCGAGCGAGTCAGCTCTGTACTGAGTGCTTCCCGCATGGGGGGTCACATGCTTTCCGAGTTTCGCGGAAGGATTGATGCAAAATAATTCCAAGCCGATTACTTTGTTCTAATTGAATCTAATCGAGAAGTTGACTTTTCGTCTACCAGAGAACGTTTTGCTGTGCGTACGATAGAAAAAGAACTGATCTTTCTATTGGTACCTTTTTTGAGCTGGATATTTCGTGTAAAACATGATCTTTGAAAACTTTGACGGTATTTTTTAAGGCTTTCTATTTAAACATCAACGGCCAAAAATATACCACGGGAAAGCCCTCCAAAGCTCTACAGTTCTCAGCCAATGAAAGATGGTATTTAATCGTCAATCTTTCTGTGAAGCATTTGAATGTACGCATGTCAATTTTTTTAACCGGCCGACCACGCGTTCCGACCTCGGGGGGCTTCGTTTTCCTCGGCGATTTTCCAGCTCCTAATAATCGGACATATAGACAACTTACACCATTGAAACAAGAAAAAGCTGAACTTTTACAAGGTGTACAGCATTTGGTGTTTTATAGCGAAAGAGCAAATAAATAGCGATCTGAATTACCCCGATTTCATCGATACCACACACTCAGAAGGCCGCGAGTGCCCGTGAGGCTGTGTTTACGCTACCTACTTTAAGTCCAATGCCGATAGCTTTTTGGAATGAAAGCTGTTCATAAATTAAGAAATGAACTTTTGATGCTGATGTCAAATTGGAGTCTTTTGGTGATGATAAAGAGTAGTAAGTTTAGTGTGCATTCTAAGCTGCTTTTTTATATGATAAAATTAATTGAAAAGATCATGCCCCTTAAATAATTTAATTTTGACATCTAACTAAATTTTATTTTGATGTTTACAGGGAATTTGAGGAGACTTACGATGCTCTACAGAGCGACATTGACAGCCTGGAGCAGGAGAAGACGGAGCTGAAAGAGAGGCTGCGGGTGTTGTCTAAGAACACTCTCCTGCAGAACATGTCGAGGCAGTCCTCAGGGCAGGGAGGTATGCCATTTGCTTAGTGGAATTTGTCATGTTTTTTGTCTTCGTTCAGATGGTCAAAGAAATACATAAACCCTTTTTTTAAAACCCTATCCTGCTGGTAACCGCTGATACTGTATTTTCCTATACCACTTGTAACCGCTGGTCAACTTTATTGTTTAATTGCCAGTACTAGAAACAGGGGATGTAACTCCAGATGGCTCTGTTGCGAGCAGAAAGTATCAATAATGTCATAAGAGCAGTTCTACACCAAAAGTTTGGAATTTTTCTAGTTCTTTTTAAAGAATGAGTGACTTGGTGGGTGCTCTGGTGTGGTTTGCTCCTTTTTTCCTGTCGAACATATATTGTCCTTGTCTCTCCTCCTTGTTTGTGTTTACTACTGTCTTGTAACACTTTTAATCTTCGTCACTTATATGACCGTAATGTTTTTCAAGTATTGTAAAACTTGTCTAAAACTTAAAACTAAGATTCTAGTCTATCAACCTATCATGTTGAATTTATTATTTCTAATGAAAATTTTAAAGCAATGCCTGAAATTATATTTTCCATTTTCATAATCAGTAATGTCGTTTATTTATAAGTTTTGATGTTAATTTATTAACAGATTTTGGCTATGACTAAACCATGATTTTCGGCACGGTTTAGTTACAAGTTCTGATCAGTTTTTGACAAGTTGTCATGTCAATGTCAAAGGAAATTTTTCTTTTTCATCAATTTTTCCTATGTCAAAGCCCAGCATGCTCCTGCTTAAGTTCCAATTTGTACGTGTATTGTGTGTGTGTGTCTGTTCTCCAGCGGCTCTGAGTGGTAGCACAAGTCCCATGAATGGGTCCATGGTGCAGGAGTCACCTCTCTTGGCTCAGCAGGTAATGCAATTGAATATAGTAGTATATTTTTGTTTTTTCTTACAGAAGTGAATTTTCCCACAAAGGTTGTTGGGTCAGTAGTCGTACTAGTGGTAGTAGCAGGCACAACAGACGATGGCGTTTATACTGTTCTAGTATACATTGTATGTCCTGTGATAATTTTATTTGAGGCTGATTAGACCTGCGCTTGTCAGAAAATGCAGGTTGACATGAATGTGAGGAAATGATCAATTTTCTATAGTTCAATAGTTGATGGATGAATATCAACATGACAGCATGCGAAACGAAAGTCGTCTAAGAGAGCAGCTGAGGCTGAGGGACAAAATGGAAATACTTCTATATTAAAGTACCCAAATGAATGGTATTTCTTTCTCTCCTTCCACCCCCCCCCCCCCCCCCCCCCCCCCCCATCCCCCATCCTTTGTTTTGGTGAGCTTCTGGAGGTGTTCTACTGTCTGTCTAGACAAGAAGAGCCTGTATAGTGTCTTATGGTCTGTTTCTTCCTGTAAGATCAGAAAGGATGTTTTGCTATTACTATAATTTTTCCCTGTTACTTGGTTTAGTTTCCAGGCAGTTTTGTGTTATGTCTGTGGTGACCGGAGTGTGGTCAGAGGAGAGAGAAAAAGCTGTTCTCACTGAAATTGAGCAAAGGAGTATTTGATGGGGAATGATTTGTCGTTAATGTACTCAATAACTGGGGTCGTGCAGAGAGGTATAAGACTAGGAGTGGACCATCAGTGTGGTTGAAGAGCTAAGAAATTGGACTCTGCAGTCACAGGAGGGTCTGTGATTTGATCACTGCTCTTGGATTTACATCAATGGCTCCTTGTCTTAATGTGGAAAGACAAGTGGGTTGGGTTTTTTTCAAAAGTTAAGTGTAAGAAAATTTTAGACAGTTTTCTATTTGAGTTGATTCATAGGTTTTGAATGGTGAAATATATTTACTCTTTTGGGCTTTAGTGAGCATGTTGACACAGTAAAAGTCATGTAGTTTTTGGTAGTCCAGTAAACAAGAGACAAGGCTCAGAGGGAATATAAACTATGTGCTTCTTACACACTGCGATATACTATGTCCCCTGTGCACTGAAAAGGCCTGGAGAGTTTTGTTTCGTACTTTTACGAGAAAGAAAGTGAAAAGAGTAGAAAGAAAAGGAGAATGATGCTATCAACATTGCCTTCCAGCGACAGGCTGTACATGTAGCACTGAGAACCCAGACATTTTGTCACAGCTGTTTTGTTCTCCCCAGGTGGCCTCCCTGTGTGATGCGCTGCAGTACAATAAGCAAGAGGTGATTCACTTGAAGGCTGAAAGAATGAAGGTAAGTGTGTCAGTCTTGTGACAGTCATACCTCAGTGATTTTCGTTACTGTCACAATAAACCAGTCTATTAGTTTAAGTACTGAAATATAATCCTACAGTTGAAGACAGTCTACGAAAAGTGTTGTATTTTCTCCATTCTTATCCAAATGAAAGAACAGAGTCTGGTTTTATAGAAGAAGACCTGTGGCAAGTGGCCCCGTGGGGTGGCCATGCGTCGTCATGCATCATCACTCATTTTTGCATTATCAAATTGCTAAAACTGAGATTTACTATTAGCTTTACTCACTGGTCTCACCAGCATTCAAGAAATTTTCATTTACTTTTCTTCTCTGCAGAGACAAGTGGCGTCCCTTAGGCCTCTGGCCATCCCCAAGAAGCCAACGGGACTCTCCAGTAGCACCGGAGCTGTGTCGATAGGGGATGTCCCAGAGACCGCCTCGGGCAAGGCCGACCTCAACAAGCTGATCAAGAAGACCAAAGATTTACTTCAGGTCAGAGAGAATGCGTATAGAATTTGTCAGTGCCTCCGCATTAGCAGGCATGTGCTGTCTGTGTGTTGGCTTGATATTGTGCTGGAAGCGCAACTCTACAGACGTCTAGTATAATGTTCCTGCAAAAAGGCAATTAATATGCGCCTGCAATCCAGCAGAAATGGAAATGTAGCCTTTACGGGGCAATAATGAATACATATTGTGGTTAACCACTTGATACATGACATGGGAGGTTCTAGGGATCTAGGTTTGAGCCCAGCTGTGAGATTTTTTTAAGAGTATGTTCACGGTTCTGTAGCATTTGCTATGTTCTTCCGGAGAAGAAAGTTATGGTGATTGCACTGCTTCTTTTTACCCAAAATGCAGTCTAGCATACACAAAGCAAAATCAATGGATGCGGAAGTCTTATCGTTTTTGCGAATTTCACTATGTATGTGTTTAAATTACCAAAAATATACTGCATAATGTAAGAAAAAAATGCAGGACCTAAAAATCTGTTGGCTATGTACATGCTAGACTGTATGCTAAAAAGGGGCATTTATCAATAACCACTCCTTGACTTCCACCCCCCCCCCCCCCCCCCACACACACACACACACAGAGGCCAAAAGATGAATTAAAAGATAAAGCTGTAGCTTGCTTTGACCTTTTTTTTTTTTTACGTTAAAAAAAGTCCATTGTTTGAGAATTTTTTTTACAGGCATTGTCTTTCCACAGGAAGCCAACAACTTGAGTGCATGCCCAAGGGTAGTGGACATCACTTCAAGAAAACCAGGTAAAAAAAAATGAGATTTGCTTATTCCCATGATGGTTATCCTCTCTTCTGAAGGTCTTTCTTCCCAGCTCTGTGCCTGTTATGTGTTGTCACTTATGCCTCCCTTTTTTTTTTTTTTTCAATTATTGGCTGATCATTTCAATGGGGATTTTTATTCTCATGTTGCTAAGTTCACAATTTTATGCTTATACTGATTTTTTTGTGTGTATATTCCTGAAATTTGTAACAGAGCATGACAAGTTGTTACACTAAACCCCACAGGGCAGTTCCACTGACTGAAGCGTCTTTAGGCCATTCCCAAAGGGTGGACATTAGCTTGTTCTTATGCACAGTAGAATTGTAAATGGGCTGATTCAACAATGTCATGCTCATAACTGTGCCTGAAGAACTGCAACAGGGAACTGCTGCTTTTTCTATCCTAATCCTTACTATTGTCATTTTCCTCTACTTCTTATGTATGTATGTCACACTCTTGTGACCAGCTATTTCCCAGGTGCCTTGGTAGTCGAAGCAAACTTTGTGCTGTTGAAGCTAGAGAGGTGAGCAGAGTAAGCCTGATTCCCTGTAAAGACCTCTCCTTTGACATCCACCCCTTGGCGCTCATATGACCTTATGCAGTTGCGAGTGCCGTAAAACCTCTACTAAAACTAAAAACTGATACACTAACACACTGTACTGTACGTAAAACACTCCTGGGTTTGCATGGAAGAAACAAAAAATAGAGGATAATATCAATCTGTCAGGGGTTGTGTGTTTCAGATTTAAACTGAGGCGTGCACTTCAGTGATGGGTGCTGAGTCGGGACTAAAGGAATTAAAAGATTTGTAGTTACAGCACAGGAACTCCCAGATGATACTGAATAAAAAGAAGGTGGAATTATCAAATCAGATGATGTGACATCTTTTACTGGTGACAAATGTCAATTTATAAAATTTGCTTTCATCATTTTGTTGAGAATAAAATTTTAATGAATTATACCTATGTGTTGTGATTGTTGTTCTAATTCTAACGACATTGATTTCTGCAGCTGCTCCCCCAGTGACAGACAAGGCAGGACCAATGAAGCAGCTGATTGGCAGGACTTCTCAGTTGACATCTTTGGAAAAACAAACTCAAGAGGTGAGGCCACCTTACCTTTCGGTTGTTGTTTTTTTAGCCTTACTTTGGTCTTTTCCACCATATTGTATCTGGATTTATACAGTGATCTGTTCGGTGAATACAATAAAATTGAGAGGATTTACTTATTAGGATGTAATTTCAATGAAAGTAGCTGTCTTTTTCTTATGGAATGTTGTGTTTTTTGTCTTTTCTCTTTTTTGTTCTTGTTGTTTTTCTTGAAAGTGTTTTGTTTTGGGTTTGTTCTTCTTCGTTTCAGGGGACAGGAGTCTTTTTCTACCATAAAAATGTTAATTTTTCAGCTGAAAAAAATTATTTTTTAAAAACTGTGAACCAAATCCTGACCAAAGTAATAGTCAAAGTATTTGTGGTATATATTTTTGTCTTTGTCAGCTGCAAGTTCAGATCACAACTCTGCTAGCTGCCAACAGGACTGGTGGCCAGGTGCGCACGGACTTCTCTACTTTCCCAACCCCACAGTTTGCGCGGGTGAGTGTTCTTTGTCTTCAGCCAACTAGTCACAGCTCTCTATGGTTACCCAACCAGTACACACAGAGCCTCATTCATGCTTCTTTTCATAAAGGCAGGCACACTATAGTGATGATGGAAGAATTATTGGTTATCTGTTTAGCGCACGCGGCATTGTTGTCTCGTCAGTACTTGGAGGATTTTTTTGCTCAATTTGGTGTTAACCTTTTGCCACTCGGAGGCGCCGATGTGCGCCGTCATCGCTAACCCCCGTGGTTGCCGATGTGCGCCGACACGCCCACTCGATTCACCCGTTTGCACTACTTTCGTTTCTACGTTGTCTCGCTTCCTGCGAGGTCGCACGAGATTGCCGATCTTATAGCAAGAATCTAGAGTGGTTACCCTTTACTGTCGTGTTTATTTGGTGAAAATCGATCGAAGCACGCGAGAGCCGCGATTTTTTTTTATTTCGTGCTTTTTATAGACCTAAATCTAACTTCGTGGATGAAATATTGCGTTGCTACAGGCACTGTATACGATGGAGACACTTATAATTGGGATTTAAATGTCGATATCGTCGACCAAGGGGCTAGATCTAGTGCTAGTAGTACAAGTAGTCACTCAGACACTCAGTCGTGAGAGAGAGAGAGCGAGAACTATAGTAGGAGAGCGAACACGGTGTCACAGGTCTAGATCTAGGCTCTAGGGGAGGGGAACAACTATGATAGTGATGTTGATGGTGAGATCGTTGCTGGAGGAGATGATTTAGAAGACTCTGATGAAAAAGATAGGCCTAGCACCCACAGCACTTTAGCTAGATCTAGATCTAGTACTACTTGCTGCACTACGACGTAGAAAAGGGAGGAGCAACACTGGGACTGTGGGCTCTGTCAAAACAAATCCTTTAGAGCATGTTGTGATCAGGATACATGGTAAAAAGGGGTTGTGCCACTACTGTGTAAAGGTGGCGTCGGTGGCCTAGTGGTTAGGCTACGGGACTTGTAATCATGAGGTTGCGGGGTCGGGGGCTCGAGCCGCGGGCCCGACGTTGTGTCCTTGGGAAAGGCACTTTACCCGAATTTTCCTCACTTCGCCCAGGTGGAAATGGGTACCCGGCCATAGACAGCGAAAGATCTTGTTAGTATGTTAGTGTTTTAGCGCCTATGTAATGGCTGCTTGCACTGTATGCTTCCTAGGAAGTTGAGTTCATTTCAGAATGTTCTCAGGTCTGCTGGGGTAATAGTATAGATTGTGAAGCGCATAGAGCTTGCTGTTGAACAGGGATTTGCGCTATACAAATGCTATCTATTATTAAAGGCCAGAAGCTTTACAAAGCCTGGCAGAGGGAGTGAGACAGTGACAGAATGCAATTTGGGCCAGGTTAGGCCTTGCAAAAGGCTGTGCTGGGTAAAACATCATGAACTTCTGCGGGGATAAAAAGCGGGTTGTGTCTTTTGGGGGGGGGGGGTTCACTTCAGAATTTTTTTTTACCTAATACACAATGATTTTTCTTACAGAACCATACCTTTTCTTGTAGTTTATTCATTTATCTGTGCTCTGACACCTAAACTGTAAATTTAGACTCATCCTCTGATTTTTTATGATTTTTTAAAATAATATAGTCATACAGTCTAAGCGGAGTTAGGTCCCTTTTGCCAGAATTTCAGCCTTGTTGGGCAGGGATAGCTCTGAGGGTTAAAATCATACAAGAACCTTAGCTTTTCTATTTTAGTAGCAAGCTATTTGACGGTACCTCTGATTGGTTCTTCTTCTTTTCTCCACCTCTCTTGTCTATGTCTGCATGTTAGGCGTTTTCCCCAGCCATAAATGACTTTTATCCATCTCTTTAACTAGGTACCAGAAACTAAATTTTCAAAGCAGCTGTATGCCAAATTTATCTGTTCCATTTGAAAGGCCTATATCCACTAAGCATTTTGGTACCATTCTTTAACCTCTCAGTCAATTTTTAAGAAAATGGTAGTTGGTTAAAATTTGATAAAATTTGTTAAAGTCAGTCACTGGCTGTAGACCCATGTTTCACAGACAATAAAAGAGTACCAAGTGCACTAAACATCTCCACATGAATAGAGTACAATCACTATAACAAATATATGGAGCCTAATTTTTTTTCAAGACTGTGACTGTGAGATCATTACAAATCAGTATTTTATCACCTCAAACACGATGATCTGTCGTTATTTCGACAAAAACAATGAGCGTTGACCCGGCCGACGCTGCACCGGCCCCCGCGGCGAGCAAGTCTGCTCTATACTGTAGTGTACCCCGCATGCGGGGTCACGTGCTTTCCGAGTCTCGCGGATGGATTGATGAAAAATAATTACAAGCTAATTACTTTATTCTAATAGGAAATAAACTGATCTTTTAATTGATCTATTTTTAAGCCGGTATTTCACATATTTTGTGTAAAAAGTGATCTATAAACATTTTGACAGTATTTTTAAAAGCTTTCTATTTAAACGCCAAAGGCCAAATATTTACCACGGGAAAGCCCGTTTAAAGCTCTGCAGTTCTCCGCCAATGAAAAGACAGTATTTAATCATCCCTTGTTCCGTGAAGCATTTGAATGCACGCGTGTCAATTTTTGAACCGGTCGACCACGCATTCCGACCGCGAGGGGCTTCACTTTCGTCGGCGATTCTCCAGCTCCTAATAATGGGACATATAAACAACTTACACCATTGTAACGAGGAAAAGCTGAACATTTACAAGGTGTATGACATTTGGTGTTTTATAGCGAAAGAGCAAAGAAACAGCGATCGGAATTACCCCTATTTCACCGATACCACGTGGTCGGAAGGCCGCGAGCGCCCGCGAGGCTGTGTTTACGCTACCTACTTTAACTCAAATTGGACTCGGCTTTGGACCAGATCCTCTAGAAATATTTTCTGCCTTTCAGTCCATACCTACAATACATGAAAGCCAGTGAGGGACATTTTCAACATCTACTCTTGGAAAGCCTGCTAGGTTATCATCCGAGAACTGGAAAGATAAGAAAACTGTCATGGCAGAAAAGTGGACTGCCATTTCACCACATCAGTCAAAACAATTGCTCTCATCTGGTGTGACATCCCACGACTTGCAGACAACCACACATAATGGAGGACTATTATTATTACAGTCCGTGCCGGCTTCAAGCACGCCGGCCTTAAGCACGTTTCGGACTCAAACACGCTAAACGGCTCTTACAGAATTTTTGCTATATAAATTACATGCCTATAAGCACGGTAACTTCGGCTTCAAGCACGCTTCATTTACAAGACAGTCAATATTTTCATGATGACCCATCGAAGTTCGAACACAGTTTACACCGCAGCAGTGGAGTGTGTCAAGAGAAACACAAAAAACGCAAGTGATGGACACACACACTCACACGGGCGGAGAGGAAGGCAGAGAGAAGCACACAGCCGTGCACGCGGACATAGGATCTAGCCTAGGCCTAGGGCAAAGCTACACACGACCAAAAAAAAAAAATACAAAGAGAGTCGGGGAGACGAGAAAGGGAGGCTGGCTGCGATTTCACCCTTGACCCTCGCTATCCATTAATCCTGATTGTGTATCACGCGCGAGGTGGGATGAAGGCGGTGGTACATGTATAAGTGGCACAGCGGGCAGTGGTACGCACAGGCCGTGTGTTACAGTAGGCCTAGTGTGCTGTATCGTGACTGGCCGTCTAAATTAAGTTTTCATTTCCCATTTGACCTCAAAACAAAAACAAACAAGCGAACAAAAACTACCATGGCAGCTGTCTAAATAACAGTGAACACTTTTGTGGGACCGCTATAGGCCTACTTACTGTTGTTACACGGGGAATTTTCTACATGAAAATCTCTGGATTATGTCTACTTCGCACTCAAACACGCTTCGGCTTTAAGCACGCTTAAGCTTTCTCCCGATGACCGTGCTTAAAGCCGGCATGGACTGTACTGAATGAGTTGTGCATTTATGTTATCAGTGGATGGATTAAAAAATAAAAATGATAACTTGTAAAAATTATGAGTATAAGTTTATCATTGTGTACATTATATAAAAATGTATTTTGCAGTTCTGATATTGCACTGTACTAATTACATTGTAAACTGGTCGGGGGTTGTTTTTTTGCTTTGATTCTTTTTTTTTTTAATTAAATAAAAAAAATCATCAGTTTGTAAATATTTGGAGAAAATGCAAGGACAGTTAATCAAAGTTTTTGGGGGGAGTTTATTGCTTCCAGAAATGAAATGGTTCTCATTCTCAAATTTTGTTTTCAAGAATTTACAAAGAAAAAGATTTTTGGTGAAAATGAATGTGTGAATGACAAAAGTGTGTGTGTGTGTGTGTGTGTGTGTGGAGGGGGGGGGGGTGTGCTCGCTGACACCATATGGCATTTTTGAACAGCCAAAAGTACTAATTATGTTATTGTTATTGTTCTCCTGTCCAGATGCTCCATGAGAAGACCAGTGATAGTGTCAAGATCGGAAGCATTCGGATACCAGTCCCATCAGGAAAAGGTGACGTTATCCCAATCAGTGTGCAACCAGACCAGCTACGCCGAATTCATGGAAAACTTATCATGTAGTTTTGTAGGATTTATGTTTATATATTTTCATGACTTAATGCTTTTTCCCTGCCAATGTATCTGTAGTGTTTCCTCTTTCTGTATGTGTTTGTGTTAGCATTGACAAAAAGTTGGCTTCCAACCCTTTGAAGAGAATCACATCATCATTAAAGGCCTTATCTAGAATGGATCTAGTTTACTTTAAGTTAAAGTTTCATGATTGAATGAGAAAAAATGTTACTATGAGAAAAATATCCATAAATGAAGCAAATCATTAATAGGAAAATTAATATGCTGTTTATTGGGAAGCCCGAGTATGTGCACATTTTGGTTAAGATTGACAAAAAAGTAGTCTCTGATGGTCCTAGAGGGCATGGTAGTCGATTTAGAGCAAAAATTGATCTGATGTTGTTGTGACAGTGCCTTTGCACTGCCAATTGGATATGCTTTGTCTCAGTGTTTCTCTCTCCTCTCCTGTGTGGATCTCTCTCTCTCTCCCCTAGACAGTAAAGCCCTTTTCATGGTGATATGTTTCTCTTCAAGTCTGCTGACAAACAAAAACTAACTCACCTTATCCCTGCCAAGATTGTGCATTGTGAACAAATTTGTTACGCTTATATCAACAACCCTGGTCCCCCTTTAGTTGGGTTTTTTTTTTTGGTATGATTTCCAGCACAATTTTTGTTGGTTGCAAACTGTGATTGTTGTATTCTTTCGCTAGTGATACGGAGCCAGTCATTGTACTGTCATTTGTCCTTTGTTTATTGTACCTGTCAAATGTAACTAAATGTTCCTCATAATACTCATTTGGGAGTTGTATTGTCACCCAGTGGGTGTTTTGTTGTCACACAGTCAGTGACCAACTTGACAGACGTATGCGAAATTGAAGTTGAAGCCAGATCCATCTGGTTTGTCCAGGATCGGTTCCTTTCAGAGTCAAAATAGTTTTTTTCTGTTGGGGGAGCACTTTGCTTCGACATGACGTATCATGTGTTTAGAGTGGCATTGAAATATTTTTTGTGAAAATATTTCCTTGGCAGAAAGTGAGACCTGATATTTTACAACTTTTAGATGAAAAACAATCGGTTTGTAACACTTTGAGGCTATAGATGTTTTGTCAAACAGAGACTGAGACAGCACATATTTAATTCCACTGTATCTCATTTTCCCTTGGACTACAGTTTCCCTGCATGAACAGTTTTTCACAGGATTGAAAGTGCTTTTTCGATGGCAAGTAGGTTTTACTTTTAGATCAGCTGTGGTACTTGTTTTGTGCCCTACAAAATGTCTACTCTTTGTAGATTTACATGGACACTTCTGTAACAAGTGGGTTCAGCGACAAGTCTACTAAAATTGGGGATTTTTCGTCATGTTCCCAAAGCCAAGTACTTTATACTCCTGTTGCAGACTGTCAGGCGGGGTTTTCTGAAGGGTCTGTTGGTTATTTTTATCAAGACTCATGAGTAGGGAGAAAATCGGCATTACCATGCATGTACTTGAAATTGGATGATGTTTCATGACTTCTTATTCATTTGACCACAGAAGTTTATCAGGTTGTGTAACTGGCCTGTCTGTTTTTATTGTTGTGTTCTATGTTTCTTGTTTCAGGAAGTGATTTTTTATTTTATTTTGGGGGGGGGGGGTGTCAAGATGTAATTTGGGAGAAATGGAGTGAACATTCTCTTCTGATAATTCTACCTGTGTTCTGTATAAGAGTGACCGCCTTCCCTTTGTGTTGTTGTGTGTGAAGTCTTAAAGAGAGAATTTTTTGAGAGCTTGGTATTTGTTCAATTGTCTTGCCATTCTACAGGTACTAGCCCTTTCGTTACAATGAAAGTCTTATTTTGAGAAAATTTGTAGTTTACCGGTACTTATATTTCGCAGATTTAAAAAGTTTCTTATTAGTCTTATGCTGGGAAAGAAATGTTATACAATATGAATTCTCCAAGTGGTAACACTTACCTTTTTTTTCACCTGTTTACTCATTCAAGTTCATGAAAAGTTTGGTTGGGGTAGGAGGAGAAGAGATAAATAAGAGACCTAAATGAGAACATTTAATATGGTTTTTCCAAAGAAATGACGAATGGTCCAGTTTTGAAAGGGTTGGTCATTAGTTGTTCTTATGTTTAATGTGTAGACAAGTTCTTTTTACTAAGGGGTTTAGTGCAATCACTTTTTTAAAATCCTGTTACTACTCTCGTACCCTTTTAAGTTCTGTCTTACAGTCTTTGACTTAGGTGCAAAGTTTAAGGTTTCTTTTCAAGTCATTTTTGTGTCAATCTGGTTTTAGAAGTTGCATTAAAAGAATGTAACAGTTACGAAACAAGCAGAAGACCAAGGTTACTGAATCCTCTGTTGCACATAACCAAATAAGGTTTAACTTAATATTGGAAAGGCTTAGTGCCTCTTTTGTCTATTTGGTTTTGTTGGGAGTTTTTTGTTATTGTTTTGGTTGGGGGGGGGGGGGGGATAACCTTTGAAATATAGAATTGTAGAAAAAATTAATTCATAATTTGACCTATTAACATATTTATGATACTAATAATCTTGAATGTAGGCCTACTTGAAGGTATTTAATGTATGTTGTTTTATCTTATCCTTTCACATTTTTCATGCACTGTAAGTTTATGAAAAAACTATGGTAGTAATGTGCCCCTGAAAATAGACTGTTCATTTTGTCCATCCCAGGTTTAAGCCTAGCTCTACTAGCTTTTGCAATTTCTTTGAAAAGTGTTGAAGACTTATATTTATGATAAGTTGTTTCATGACTTTCAAGAAGAGAGTAGATAGCGTCACAATTGTGTTATATGCTAGCAGGTGCTGGAAGGAATCTATTTATCATTTTCAAATGCTTTTGCATAAAATTTATCTTGTTTAAGAGCTTTGATTTCTTTCTGCTGGTGGTTTGTGAGGAAATCAATAAATACATTGATTTATGTTTGCTTCTCTTCTGGTTGTGTTGTTGTACTAAAAAAAAATATTTGTTTTTTGTGGGTGTTTTACTACGGTGCTGGCAACTGCGTACGGTCACATGAGTGTGGGGGACACATTCATTAGGCATATTCAGTTTGGTAAGAATGAATTTAATTTTGCCCAGGTGGTGGCCAAAGCTTACTTTTAACCGAGAAAGCAAGGAGGAGTTCGATCTTACCCACCCTAAGATCAGGGGTGTGGCTGAAAGTAAAGACACCAATATGAAGGAGCCAAGGAGTAGCAGTAGAAAGAGTCAGGAGCCCAGAGGACTGAGGAGGGGGCATGGGGTGGGGCAGAAAGTGAAGATAAAAGCAGACGACAGAACATGATTTTAGAAAGGAGGAAAGGAGAAAATGTTTATTTTAAAGAAGAACATTTTCTGTTGCGGTCAGTATGCGAAGCAAGGACCTATTGAATGAGAAGCGAACATTATAACCTCCAGACCACGAGAGCCCACTTGTACTCACAGAATACGAAATTGTATTTGCGCTATAGACATCCCCGTAAACACTTGTTCAAAGATTTACAGAGCCCATCAACTAAGAGCTAGCCACTGAGCCAAGGAGCACAATTCAGATTACCAACATTTTGATGGCATTTTCATAAACTGATTTAAGGTCCTGACATTTTCATGAAAATGAGAAATGAGCAAGTTGAACTGGAAAGTAACACCACGGAGTCCATAATATTTTACAAAAATATGCAGTTGAAAATGAGGTAAATTTCTCATTGCACAAAAATGTTTTCGTCTTGAACTGAAAAGATGGCATATGAAAATGCTGATAATGCACAAAAAATATGGATGTCAGTCTTCTTTTAATCTATAACAGTATAACTATAAAAGTGCATACTTTATACTGTATGCGGTTACAGTACGAACATTTAGTGTACCAGATCAAGATTTGTGCTCTCATGATGTGGAAATTAACTTGGAACATTGTGTCACTTACAAATTGTATTATTTTAACATTTGTGATGGACCCAAACAGCCCATGCCATCCTAGCAAAATACGTAAATAATTGTGGGCGGAAGGAAGGTGCCACTGGTAGGTCCTACTTCTTCACTTTACTTTCCCTCTGCTGTTTCTGTCTGTCTGTCTTACGTTTTTCTCAGCACTAAATGACCACTATTGAGTATCGAGTCGATGTGCTTCTCTTTATAATAAAGAGAAAAAACAAAACAAAAACATAGTTGCACAAATACAGCATGATATGTTTGGAAAAATGAGTTTTGATAAACAAAACATCTTTAAAAATCTATTGTTAGAAAGAATTACTCCTAGTTATTAGCATGATGATGGCATCCCAACTTCTGTCCCCGTTGTTTTATGCAAGAAAAATTCTGAAATTATGCAAACTGAGCCCAAAAATGTGAAATTAAGCGATTCTGTTAGTTTTAACAAAGAATGATAAAGGAAAATAATCAGAAATTATGCAAAAAATGATTGAATTATGCAAGGCGCATAAAACCATGGGGACAGTGACTTTAACTTTGCTGAGATTTGTTTGTAGGCCTACCGGAGGCTTGCACCCTTTTCGAAAATGGTTCTTGCAGGTGGTTGGGGATCCCCACTGGTAGGTCCAACTTTTTTTTTACTATCCCTCTACTCACCATCTAACCTTTTCCCCATCTAAAAATGACAATTTTTACGTCAATGTACGCCTCTTTAACTTAACCTTGAACTGTTGAACAGATCTTCACTTATCTAGCCGTAATTCTTGGAATGAAAAGGTTCGGATCTTGATCTTCCCAACGAACTTGGATTGAACTTAAGGAGTTTGCACCCTTGTTTCTTTTTAAATTCATAAAAATCAATGAAAATAACTCAGATTCAACTAACACATAAATGACCAAGCTCGGATTCAACGAAGTCGCTTGCAGAGTGAACTGCCTATTGCAACAAATCAGCAACCTCCTTTCACACCAACACACGTGTTGTTAGCACGCACACTTGTCTTAGTGTGAGCGGAGATCGAACGAGCGTCCAGCACATGTGTGACTGTGCATATGTCTGGGGAGATGGGGTACAAATGGCCCACATATGGAACGTCGCTAGAGATACAAACTCATCAGCTATTTTTTTCCCCGGCTACTAATCAGTATCACAAAGATAAATAAGTCTTGACACAAATCTATTTAATGAATTGCGTGCTGGACTGTGGAATCAAACATTGCCGCATGCAACATAACTTGTTCGGCAAACAATACGTTATAGATAATATTACTTGCTCGGTGCCTGAAATTATCTACACAAAAACCTCATGTTTGTTATCTATACAAACACTCAGATTCAACTAAATCGAAGGTCAGGCCCGTCGACTTCATTGAATCCGAGTTCCACTGTGTCACTGTTGTAATATTTCTATATTTTACTAAGTTTTTCAGAAGTAGCTTGTAAAAGCACTAAGTTAATTCAAACAAAATGGGAATAGAACCTAGGGTTTGCAGAAGGACATGGTAAGATTAAATAAAATACTACAAAAAAAGGAAAAATATTGTTTTAGAGATTTTATTTCTTCTTCATTCAACATCCCAATTTCAACAAAGCACTACAAATCTAAAAATAATCATTTTAGTTTTACTCTTTCCTTCAGCACACTGACTCCTGGCATCTTGTTGATCTTTTTATTGAATTTGGCAGTCAGATTCTCTTCATTGTAATTAGCAGCGTCCTGGGCAGAAAATTCACTCAGCACCTGTTGACAGAAAGTGAAAATATTCAAATAGTGAGGAACTTTAGGTGTTCTCATGAGTAAGATCATACATATGAGTTCCTGATATTTCTGCTGATATCTCTGCTGTCGCAGCCAACCCATTTACTCATTTAAACAGAGGACCCTCCAGTAAATTCAACTCTGAACACTGATTTCTGGTGAAAATATTCTTTTTTTGTTTTGTCACCTAACTCCGTTAAAAAGAAGCTCAGAATTTAGAAACTGAGAAGAAAATTTTCAAAGATTAAATTGATGTATTTAAGGTGCCATCTTGACATCAATTAAACTTTAGTCAGAGTATTTTCAAAACTGACAAAACTACGATACAGCAGACTGTCTTTGATAAGAGTCTATCTGTCTAAGATATTGAGTGCTGTGCCATAAAAAATAGAGACAAGCAAGCAAAAGAAATGATAAACAAATGTGGCTGGCTCTGAAAGGAGAGCAAAATACATTCTCAAAAAAAAAGATAAAAGAAAATAAGGAAAATACGGTTCATAGCATATATCACAATTACTGTACTTCTTATACAGCAGAACAGCAAAACAAATTCTCACTTAAACGCACACATTACAGGTTGCCACATCACGATATGCTGATTTTAATGCCCGTATGCCTAGCCACTGGTACAGCAGTGAGCGTTTACTAAACAAGACATTGTTGATTATTTTAAAGATCTTTCTGAATTAGATACTGGTAATGACAAGGACTAGTGTGAAGCGCATAGAGCCTGCTGTTGAGCGGGGATATGCGCTATACAAATGTATCTATTATTATTATTATTATTATTATTACCCTGAGTGGGATATGGAATGTGATTCTCGCGATCATATAAATGTTAGTAATATCTCTCAGGAGCTCAGGCTGAAGGGCACAGTAGTGTCAGAAGGTCAGGGCTCAAAGGGCTAGTGGTCTTTACAAATCATTTCATAAAACTCAACCAAAGGACATCTAATATTAGAAAAGAGAGTAAAAGTGAAATAACAAATGGCCAAACTTTACAAATTGGCATTGACTACTCAACATGCTCCTTTATTCGTATGTAAAAACTGAAACTTAATGTATGTCTATTTATCCTTTTGTTAGCACCAGTCAGTCAGCAGCAGGCAACAGGTGGGTTTAAATTGAATTAATAATGGTTGAACAAAAATTTGCAAGGTCTTAAAAAGTACTTTTCTAATGCCTAAAAATTAAATCATGTACAATCTCTTTCAATGCATGCATGCATGCATGAATGCATACCTACCTACCTACCTACCTACCTACCTACCCTCCCTCCCTACCTACCTACCTACCTACTCACCCACCCACCCACCTACCTACATACATACATCAGACATACATACATACATACAACCATACATCACATCACCTCAATCACACACATTTATAAAACGAGTTCTCTCCCATGTCATTTAGACTTGAGTGCAAGTCCACTAAATAAAAGCCCCATGGGCATTCACCAGCCTATAAGTTTTGCGCTTATAACTGGCGACGCCAGATATTTTGCCAGAGGTTGGAGGGGAGGACAAGATGGCGAGGTTTCTTTAAAGTTTCTCCAGGCAACTTATAAATTTAATTCCATTTTTTTTTATATATTGACCAAGGCCTCAAAATAATAGCATTTTCATAATCAGCGTATTAAATTTAGTCGGATTCACACGGGGAGAGAAATTTGATGCTGAATTGCAAAGTTATGGGTTTTTTTTATTGTACTCTTCTACATTACACATTGTATTGAGTTCGTTGGTGACACCCTACATCCCTTTAGATTCATCCATTATATTGCCTGAAATCTACAAGACAAGGGTGGGGAGATGGGATGGGCAGAGATGGAGCAAATCAGCGAAAAGCATTAGATCGAGACCTAGACCTAGCTCGTAGAGATTTGTGTGTTAAGATTGTCAAGCTATCACCTAGTGGATGTGCCGTGCACCGTGTGTAGCCTTGTGTGTACTGTGTACTTCTAATGGCCAGTTCACTGGTGGTAAAACAGGGTAAATTTACAGTAGTTTAATAAGGACCATACAACTGAGACAGTTGGCGGATGGCAGTGTAAAGGCACAAAATACTATGTTCATATGAGAGATTTTTTCGTATACTGGCAACACGTGGCGGTACAACGGAGTTGGGGGGGGGGGGGTGCGTACAACGAGGTTTGACTGTACATATTGCTAGTACTAGATAAAAGAAAGATGAAAATATTGAAAAACAAAATAGCTGCAGCCTTTATAAGTTTCTAAAAGTTTCAGTCACAAAGTGCCACTTGGATCAAGTTCTTCACCTCAATTGAATTAAAGTCCTAAAAGACAGATGGTTGACACCATAGATCATCCATTTAAATAACTTTATGTTCTTGTGTGAAAGCTGTCCACTAACCATTCTACTTGTAGAAACCGCTTTTGAGTAAACTTTTTGGCGTAACTAAATTTTGGGTAGACGCTCCCGCTGCCTGAAGGCATAATTTTAGCTAAAAACGTGAGTTTATGAAGACACTAGGGTCAAGAACAATCAAAAAGAAACTGCAATCATCCATTTTGATATTAGAAATGCCAGTGGAACCAACAACAAGCATTCTCTCAAAAGTTCATTATTTCATAGTCAATGTAAATATAGAACATTAACTTGATACATATTTTTTTAAATACATGTAAACTGTGCAAACAAAAAGACAAGACACACCTTTCTGCGCAACTTTTTCAATGGCATTTCTCCCTTCTTTTCGAGAATAGCAGTGATTGTTGCTCCCCATCTGAACTTCTTTTTCTTTCCTGAAGATGTATCAATTGACTGGTCATTGTCAGCTGCATCTTCCTGCAAATCACAGCTGCCATTTTCTGCTTGCTCTGGTGATATATTATTACAAACTTTGTTTTTAACTAAATCTCATATTTCCACTCATGAACATACTGAAATGGTAAGATGAGAAGTAAAAAAGAAAAGATTACATTTATTCACCTGTCCGGAAATCTTGTTTACATAGGAGCATCACCTAACATACATTCTAAGAATACAATAATCCAGAATACAAAGTTGTTGTTTTTTTAATTTTCAATGATCAATTCACTTGCCACAATTGACCCAAAGAGAGTGAGAGGACGAGCATGTTCAGGTTTAAGAAACATTCATAAACAGTTGTAGATGACCAGAACTAACTTCTTGCCATGAGACCAGTAGTTTGTTGTCATTGTCATGTACTAACACCCTTACTGTCTACTTAATGGCAAGGCCTTCTCTTGAGCACTTCCACAAGGACACATATCAGAGACCACATACCTAAAAGCTGTGTCACTAGCATTGCTTGATGACCATTGTGAACCTGAATTCCCTCACAACTGGGGCACCGGACAGTGTCCCCCAGCATAAATACTGTTTATAACATCCCACCATATTCTACTGCACCTTTCAAAGCATCATTACCTTGAGAACTGTCATGTTTCTTTTTTTTCTTCTTTTTCTCAATTGGGCTCAGCTCACTGCCGGGATCCTCCTCTGCTGGCTCTTCATTCCTCTTCCTTTTCTTCCCAGACACAGGCTCCTCAGACACGTTACTCTGATCTTCCAGAACTTCTTCATGTTTTCGTTTTTTCTTTTTCTTAACTTTTTCAACATCTCCATTGCTTTCTGGAACTTCTTTATCCTTCTTCTCCTTTTTATTTTTCTTCTGACGTTCTTCCTTTTTCTCTCTTTTATTCAGTTTCGCTGTTTCCTCATTTTCATTTTCCACCTCCATGTGGCCATCACTGGTTTTGGAAGGGTCAACATTGCTTTTGGTCTCGCCATTAGTTTGAGCAGACTGAGCGGATGGTACATTATGTTTGCTTTCTGCAGCCTGTAATGACAAATAAACATCAAAGCAGTTTAATTTTCTTTCAGCAGATGAAAAACAGTTTTAGTGTAAGTTAATGAAATGAAAATATTTACTTTTAAAAAAGAGAGCTGTCCCAGAAATAACAGGAAAATGACTATATCAAAATTCAAATAACTCCGATATTTTTCAATTCTGAAAAAAGATTTTAGTAGTTCAGGGAATACTCCATTTGGGCCCACCATTAAAATGAACAAAATGAATGCAACTATTTAATACACACCACTACATAAAATTCGTCAAAAGAAGACAACAGAAATGTTATTCAGTTTCTACGTGAAAAAGGAAATTGCCACAGAAACTGAGACAGAACTTGAAAGTATTTATGGTGAGGTCTAACATTGGTGCAATTTATCTAAAGAGGGGCATACAAATCTGCACGATGGGAAAATTAGAGGGTTGTCATCTGTTTGCCAACACAGAAAAAATGCTGAAATCATTAGGAAACTCATTCGTGATGACAGGAGGCTCAAAATTCATGACATTGCTGAGATCCTAGATCTTTCTAGGTCAATAGTCACACTTTTTAAAAATGAAATAAGATGCAGAAAAGTGTCAGCTCATTTGGTTCAAACACAGTTGGCAGTGAGATTGAGATGACCACAAGGCACAGAACATCGATGTTTGCACGACATCATGTGATTTATGGCCTCAAGACCAATAGGAGAGAGAAGTTAAAACCTGCCTAAAGATGAAAGAGTAATGATCAGCAGAAAAAGCTTGAAGGTAACATCAAAGAGGAAGAAGACAATGTAACACAGAGTAGAACATTGATTCTTTCGTTGAACTCATTACAACAGCCATTTTCTGACATGGATAGGCCTAGCCAAGTTAAACAAAAGCACTTTCATCAAAGGACAAATCAAAGAAGACCAATCCAGCATAAACGTTATGGTCTGTTGTGATAGGAAAGTGCCAACATCAGCTATGTTCAATTCCATGGAAATTAAATACAGATGGTATAAGCTAATGAACAAGCTTAGTACAGACACCAAGGAAAACTCATACTTTTACTTGTCTGCAACCTCTCCTCACTCTCCACAGCATCAAGTAAGCCCCTTTTCAGTACCAGTAACTCAGCACTATCATCATCAACGTACTCACTACTGGTATCAATAAACGGTAAGAAAAAAAACTATTTTCTTATCTTTCCAAGAGAACTGAGAGACAAATTTTACCACTAAATAGTATGCTGAAAGAACTTTCTAACCCTTTGACTTTGTAAAACTCACATTGTTTGCTGCTGTCATCAGGAGGTCCCACACTTGTGAAATTAGGGCAGGGCTAAGCACTCGAAGACTGTTCTTTAAGAAATTCTGAAGAGAATGTCACACATAGTTTGAATGGTATTTTAGTACTAGGCAACAGACATAAAACTTCAGTTAAACAAAGATGTAATAGACAAGAACAGAAAACGTTAATTCAGTCATTTATAGCAACAATATCAAAGCACCCAGCAAACAACAGATTACATGATACGTATTGTTTTTATCAACCAACTGCTAAATAAACTCGCACAAAAAAGTTAAGGAACAACTTGTGTTTCCACCTGTCAAATTTAAACTTCAATATCTCGCTATCCCGTAAAGCTCAGTCAACCAAACTTGACACATGCACTGACGACTTGACACAGTTTGCCTGTACAGCAAATTTACCCGCACGAGCTTCACAACGACGAGGCAGGGCATGCCCAAACACAGCTGAAAAGCATGAAAAATGGGCTAAATTTCTCTGCCTCTGCAACATTGGCATTGGGGCTGGTGGCTAAAACTGAGCATGGCACGTGCTAAACAGATGTCTTGGTTGTTAATATCGCTCACTTGCAACCCTTTATAAGCCAGCGTTTTTCAGCCATGTTTCATTACAACACGATGGTCCAACGACGCTTGCAGCCTGATGTCGACAGAGGACGCGCTCTTGCCTGGCTCCAAGATGGAACCACGTTCCAAGTCGTTGCACATCAACTTGGGGTGTCCCCGTCACTCATATGGAGGCTGCAAGAACGATGGCGAGCGACAGGAAGGGTCCAGGACAGGCCTCGACAAGGGCGGCCCCGTTTGACCAAGGACAGGATCGATCGGTTCATCGCCAGACAGGCCGTGACGTCACGAACCACCACTGCAAACCGCATCAGGGGCCAACTACGGGGGACAGCCAATGTCCACTTGAGCGAGGAGACGGTGAGGAACCGTCTCCGTAGAGCCAGGTTCGCTTCTTGTGTTCCTGCCAGACGCCCAAGGCACACGCCGGCCCACAGAGCAGCTCGCTTGGCGTGGTCTGCTCGACATTTCCATGGACACGACGTCAGGTTGTCTTCTCGGACGAATCCAGATTCAACTTGCTGCACCCAGACAGGCGAGCCCACGTCTGGAAGCGCCGAATAGAGCGGTTCCACCCTGAGTGCATCCAGCAGGTGGCGCCCTACGGTGGAGGGTCCGTTCTGTTGTGAGGAGGCTTCTCGGCTCACCACAGGACCCCCCTGTACCATATACAGGGCAATTTGACCACTGCAAGGTACAGGGACGAAATCCTGCTTCCCGTTGCTGTTCCTCTCCTGCAGCAGATTGGACCCCACGCTGTTCTGCAGGACGACAACGCCACACTACATCGCGCACGCATCGTGAGGGACTTGCAGCAGCGAAGTGTCACCCGCATGGACTGGCCAGCTTGTAGTCCGGATTTGAACCCAATCGAGAACATCTGGGATCACATTGACCGGCGGATTAGGGATAACCACCCTCCTGCACAAAACGTTCAACAACTCTTGGGCTACCTCGTCCAGGAGTGGCAGAACCTACCGCAACAAGATCTCCGAATGCATGTCCTGTCCATGCGTCTACGCTGTACTGAGTGTTTGACCAATCGGGGTGGCTACACCCACTATTGACAATGTTTATGAAGAACTACGGCTGCTCAGACTCTTGAAATGCGACCAGTGTAATTTAAACTAATTTTACATGCATTTCTCTTTGTTGTTGAAATCTGAAATTATACACTCGTAAACTAGAGAGTCGAAAGCATCTTTTTTGAAAAAATGAATAAATTCGGTTCTACAGTTTTTCAGTTATCTTGCTTTGAATTTTTGTTCCTTAACTTTTTTGTGCGAGTTTACTTGAAGAACAAAGGGCAATCTTAAATGTTCAGTGTCAATACTCCATTGCCTTCATTCACATAATCAATGATAAAAAGGAACCAAAAAACAAACAACAAACTAAAGGATGTATAGGAGAGTAACTTTAAAAATCCTCCAGTCTGAAAAGGATAACACTACAATTCTTCAAGACTACAGTAGTCTCCGCCTAAACGCACAGTGCTCGGGAAGGCTCTTTAGCGTGTGTTTATATGGAGTGTATGTTTACATGAAACAGTGCAAAGGGAGGAAGGGATGCAGTCATCTCAATTTCTTGATATTCTAGTGACCTCCCTTTGGGGTGGGGGTCACTTTGGGCCAATAATGTGACGACATGGGGGGGGGGGGTGCAGAAGGACAGCCTCAATGCAATGATATGCACCATAAAATGTCGGGAACAGATAGCCTAAAAAGATAAGAAGAAACTGTTGGTGATAGTCAAAGAGACGACAGCCCAACGACATGGCTTTCCAAGCGACCACCCCTGACCGTAATTTATAATCATGAATGACATCAGAACCATGATCATAGATCTCTACATTCAGAGAAACATTTCTCTGTGATTCGTTGAACAAGTACGTTATAGGTTCTTCGAGCGCAGCTGATTAGGCTTACTTGACTAATCTTTAATCTTATAGAGGCCTATCTAGTGTTTTACAGCATTCTTGCGTGTTGCGCATCATAGGCCTAGATCTAACTAAACATTACATGCAGTCACCAAAACACCAGTCAGAAACCTTCTCTCAAAGATGCATTTCGAGTGACCAATAAAAAAACATTTCAGTCCCCCAACCCCCCAACATTTCACCAACCAGTCCTAGACTTAAGTACTGTCTGTGGAAAGCTGGGTGTGAAAACTCTGTCCATCAATCTCTTCATTCGGCGTGAGAGGCATTCTCACCAAATATCCGGTTTTCTAGGGTTGTCGTATACAAGCAGTGCAGGTTGTAGTGAAAATTTCCCTTTGTCAAGCTTTACCTGTCGGCGTGTTTCGCGAATCGGAGCGTGCGTTTCGAGAGAGTGACAGCTTCTAACTCAAAGACTAACTAAACTCCCTGATTAGAAGAGAACAAGTCCCTATCTTTCACCTGCAAACACAGCACATCCATCTGAATTCCTACCTAAATAGGATCCGCAAGGATATCCCACTTGACTGTCTGTTGTGTAACTGCCAGGATGAAACAGTATCACACCATCTCTTTTCCTGTCGTGCACTTAGCAACCTGTGTAGTACCAACCTAACTGCCTCCCCAGATATCGGAAATACTTTATACAGACCTGCCACTCTATGAAATCTAAAAATCAGGATTTCTGAGTTAAAAAATCAGGATCCGGTGAAAAAAATTGGGATCAACGAAAATTCAGTCATAAAGGGCACTAGGGAAGGGGTTGTCCTGGTTCCCCTTTAAGAGGCAAGTATGCAAGGCTAAAGTTTGACAGCATATATGTACTCGAGTTGAAATTGGATAGACTGGGGGAGCGAAGGTCCCAGTGATGCTGAAACACTCGTAGTCTTGAAAATAGCTGACACGTAACTCTAATCATCCACGCAAAACACCCGTGTTTTAACGTTTGACTTCCATCACATCGAAAAAAAGATCGCGCCAAGGTTGTTCATTTTTTTTCTTATTCCTTTCCCCTTAATTAGTATCTGTATCACGGCACGCACTTTAAGCCCACGTGTCAAAACAATACCCCCACCCCCTCCCCCCGGCCGTCCACACTGGTTAAGTCCCGAAAAACACCTCGACCAACACAACCTGTGTGAATTAACTTTGTTGACCCCGACAACCGACGGTCCCTGACACACGTGCTACTCACCACACGTACGAAGTCATGTCATGTGATGCGAGTGAGCGTTTGAAACTAGGTCGATTTTAGTTTAAATAGCGTGTGTTAGTCATCTACTAGACCTAGATTCGGCAAAGATGCTTTAGAAAATAGAGTTCCAAGTTCCTGCAGATAAAAAGTCCAATCGGTGTTTCCAAGCAAAAGAGATTGCAGAACTTTTTATATTTTTTTCTATGAATCGGACGCAACAGACGCAACCATGAAAAATCAGGATACTGGCGATCGAAATCGGGAAAATCGGGATGCTTGAGATTTGGGGCACAAAATCGGGATATCCCGATTAAATCGGGATGAGTGGCAGGTCTGCTTTATACAGCGATAAAACACAGCTGATACAAACCTGTAAATTCTTTGTCATTTCGACAGTACAAAGGGCTAGAACCCAGATGGCCGTTGGATCGGAAAAGAAAAGTAAAGTAGAGGGAGTGACTGTACATTTGTACATCTAAATTATATGGCTAGTTTTTTCAAACGTCATGACAAAAGCGTGCGTTTGAGCGGAGCATGCTTTTGTATGGCATGCATTTAGGCAGAGACTACAGTATCAGCTTCAAACAAACTCAGACATGCTTTTATTATGACTAAGATTAAAATACCTGTTTTAATGGCCATCTGTTCAAGACAATCACCTATACAAACATCCACATCCCATTCCGGCCCTTTCGTTTCTTCTATATATTATGACACTTCCCAAGACATTCACATGTATGTCTAAGACAACCATTTTTCTCCTCACCATTGGGTGACCGTCTCAGACAATTTTAACTGCATATCATTTCTTACAAAGTCATCTGAACTAAGACATTCATCAAATTATTAATGCAATACAATGCAATAAGCCGGCAATTTCTAATTATACATGAATACCTCAAATTTTGCTTTTTTCCGGGGAATGTTAGGATAATCTGTGAGTCTTTCGAGCAGGCCTTTCAGTTTTGGATTTGATGAAGCTTTCTCTATTGCTCCTTGGACTTTCTGAAGGGGAAAAATAAAAATAAAAATGCAAAACGAAGAAATTTTTTTCACTTGGACAGAACAGTTTTAAGTCACTTAAGACCAAAATTAAAATTAAGAAATCTCTGTTTCCTATTTCCAAAGCACAGACATTCTATCTCAGTCTGACACTCAACTTATGTTTCCATAACATGCGGATAACTTGAGAACGACAGATGTACGCCTTTGGCCGATATTTATAGTAACAGCCATCTTGTTTGACGTCATTGAGGGATTCCCACTTTGTTGTCGTTCACGGTGGCAACACGACCGCAAAGCACTACTGCAGTATTTTTAAAGCCTATAGCCTACAGTGGCGTGGTGGCGGAGTGGTTAGTGTGCTTGTCTCCAAAGCAGAAAGTCCAGGTTCAAGCCTCGGTTCGGCAACGGATTATTTTTTTCCGCCCCCTCCTGCCCACCAACCTGTAATGGGTACCTGACTTCATATATTAAAGGTCGTATTGTGAGTAATTTGCAATCATCTATTTTGTGGATGAATCTAGCGGTTGCCATGGTAATGGCGGCCATTGTAGGAAAATGACCAATTTTTTGTACGTTTTTTAAATCCATCAAAGTCACGACATCACATGCTTTTTCAGTTATCTTACATATTTCTTTAGAAAAAAATTTTTGGGTTAAAATTAGTCCTGTATTTCCCCAACTCGAAGTCATGTACCCTTTATAGGTGGGTGGGCCGGAGGGGGAAAAAAAATCTGTCGCCGAACCGAGGCTCGAACCTGGACTTTCTGCTTTGGAGACAAGCGCACTAACCACTCCACCACCACGCCACTGTAGGCTACAGGCTTTAAAAATACTGCAATAGTGCTTTGCGGTCGTGTTGCCACTGTGAACGACAACAAAGTGGAAATCCCTCAATGACGTCAAACAAGATGGCTGTTACTATAAATATCAGCCAATGGCGTACATCTGTTGTTCTCAAGTTATCCGCATGTGTTTCGATGCCGCCAATGTATGTTTTATTGATCCAAACCATTCCTGACGGGATGGGAAATCGCCCTTTAATTAATTTTTTATTGAACCTTGCTCCCTTTTTATCGTTTTTACAGAATACAACAAGGTTCAGTTTGCGAGATCTAGACTAGTTTACTATAAATAGATCTAAGTCAGATTTACCATCTGGATCCATTTTGTAGGTCTAGATGATTCTTGTAGACTTACCATGGACAAACATAGCTAGATGTACACATTTAATTTTCTATTTCTGGGTCTAGACTATAATAAAGACTCAATTTGATACATTGTAGTTAGTAGAATCAAAGTACAGCAATGGCATAAACAAAATACTTTTGTGATACCCAAACTTCTCTGTGATACTCCTTTTCAAAAGTTTTTTTTAAAGTAAGGGATAAACACAATTATTCAAAATGTATTACATGAAAAACAGTTTGCTGTTTCTTTCTTTACATTAAAACTTTAGAAAAGTAAAATGACAGAGGTTTTCCCAAACTTGATCAAAATGGCTGGCCTCAAGGGGTTCATTTCAAAATCAAGGCCAATATGAAGAAGTTAATACAGTCCCATCTTCAAAACCATTTTAACAACACAAACAGAAAAAGTAAAAGATTAGACTATTATTCCTGCCTTAGACAAGAAACATTAATGATAAGCTCTAGATTGACAGTACACAATAGGCCTTGTGTAATGCCAGTTGACTTTGATCCGTTAAAAGGGTCATTACAGGGTAATTAGTAATGAGACAGACATGGACAGCAGAGACAAGTTGTTAACTGAGATGGGGATCAAAAGGTTAGAGAAGCATATGAGGCTTGGGAAGAGTGTGTGGCTTGCAGACTTGGAAGACAGACTGGCATCAGAGTCACTTTTCTAAGACTGGACAAGTAATTTCAGTTTCAGGAAATCCATGGCTGCCAAACCCGAATCAGTATCAGTGAAATTATCATAATTATGAGAGACAACTCCTCCCGACCTGATCAGCACATCATTACTCTTATCTCATCTATCATGTGTTCTCTCGCCACCCTCCTCCTCCCCATGCAACCCTTCCTTTATCTGACCCAAATATATCCAGAACATTTACAAAAAACTCTCTCCGTCTCTCTCTCTCAATTACGAGTTAGGCACACTCAACTGAATAAAAAAAGATATTTCTAAAGATCTCAGCACATGCATTACAGTACCTCAATCCACTGTTCTTGTTTCACTTCTCCTTTGTTGACCTTGGCCACAAAGCCTTTACCACAATACTTCTCATCTTCTGTTATGCACTTTGTGTGTGTTAAGTACTCAGAGCCCCTGGAAATATAAAACATGTAGTGAATACCAATGACCAGCATTTTATTTTCATTCTTAACGTTAGCCAGCAGGTTTTGCACATTTTTGCAGATAAACAATTCTCACTTTTCAATTGAAACAGGAACTTCTAACAGTTCTGTAGCTTCTCCTTGATAGAAAGCATGGTGTCTTTTTCTTACTGACAGTCGAGTCAAATTGCCAGCATTCGGCTGAACTTTCAAAAATCCGACTTTTTAAATTCTTCCTAACTCAACTAACTGGGACATCCATTGAGAGATGAACGAGAAGAAGAAAAAGTCGTTCTTTCTCTGTGTGGGCCACAACTGCTGTATGTCCTGCAGCAATGGTAGTTTTCTGATGAGATAACACATTGATCTTCATCTTTGTCTTCAGTCATTCAGTGTTGTAGAGTCCACCATAGGAGCTGGAATAAAGCTCATGTCACTCTAGAAAAAGAAAGCATGTCAGAGCAGAAGCAAGAAATAAGAAATAAATTCCGTAGAGGGAGCGCCAAAGAGCAAGGTCATGTCCTTGCTTGATTCTGCTCTTATCTCAGTCTCAAACTCCTCCGAGGATTTTCTAAAGATGACTCTGCCTTCATTACAAATGTAAAATGATTAAAAGATCCGTAGGAGGGACAGCAGACATCCAAGTAACTCCAGAGATTCAATGTTCTTCGCAACTGACATGATCAAATGCTTTGGCGAGGTCTATGAAGACAATGTACACAAGGGTTTGTGCTGCTCTCTGCACTTCTCCTTTACCACAAAGATGGTATGAGTTTATTAAGGGTCCTATCAACACTATTAGGTCATTTAAGAGGCGGGACCTCAGAGTTTAACGTCCATCTCCGAAAGGACCAAGCAAAGTAGGAAATTCGTGCAAAATACCTTTCCCAAGGACACAATGTCAGACCGAGCTGAGGCTCGAACCCCCGAACTCGCAATCTCACAATTACGAGTCTGGTAGCCTAACCATTAGACTACCGACGCCAGTCTCCTGTACCTGTCACAAGAAGATCACCATGTTAATAAAATGGTTTACCTTTTTGCTCTAAACCTACACTGGGGCTTGGGACTCACGTGTTCTCTGACAAATTCAATTTTCTGAGCCCAGGTCCCCAGAACCTGGCAGGTGAAGATTTGCATGACCATACGCTGAATCAGCATTCTCTCTCTCTCTCTTCTGGCACTGTGGCGTCATAAAAGGTCAGCAATGCCGACAGCACCCAGGAACTCAACACTTGCTCGGGGGCCCTTGAAAAGTGGTGAGCGTGGGTCACTGAAATGTCCCAGCAGACGTGTTCTGGCATGATAGTTGGCAGGACATTTCAGGAACACATGGTCTATAGTCTCGTCCTCCTCCTTGCAGGTTCGACAGGGCGGATCTGGGAAGTCCGCTGGTGCAATTTTGTGGAGATATGATCTCAGTTTGGGCGATTTTCCACCAGTTGTCATTTGGGAGAGAAGCTGGCGGTCCTGCCGTCTGAGCGAGGCCTCAAGCTGGTATGATGGCGGCTGGGCAAGCGGCAGTTTGGGTTTCGCCTCTTTTTCACTTTGCGCAGGTCGACCGGTGGATGAAGGTTTCAGCTGTTGAAAAATCTATTGGCATGTCAGTCTGGGTAAGCGCTGTTGCTTCTTTAGCGATGCTGTCAACTTCCTCGTTCCCAGCTAGTCCAGCGTGGCCTGGAATCCACTGTAAGTGGATGGAACATTCCGAGCGATTACAGAGGGTGTGCAGACGCTGCCAGATAGAGCACGCCACTTTTCCGATTGGTTGGTGGGGCCGTATGAGAGGCGTATGACTGCTGATCTGGAATCAGTGTATACATGAAGGCATACACTGTTCTAAAGACTGCCTGCTGTATGTAGTGAATCAAGCATGCCCGGCGCTGTGTCGAGAGCTACAAGCATAGCCCTGTAGCTGGAACAATACCAGCCCGCGGTTACACAATGGTCGAGTTCTGAATCACAGGTCTTGATCAGTATTCTGCTGCCTCCATACTCGGTACCGTGTTTCGCTGAACCGTCAGTCCAGAATTCAACATCAGGCAGGGGGAGCAATCGAATGGTAGCCTCTGCTGCTGACTTCCTGACAGCTGGTTCATTAGCACGCTTGCAGTCCACGACGAACGAGATCGGTGCTAAAGGTCATATTGCATGATGTAGACTTCTATGGTTGTGTGGGGGGTAAAGCAACCAGTTCCTCATGTGGGTACAAACCTAGTTCAGTTTCAGCTACAAGGTTCTGGGCATGCTTTCTCCAGCATCCATGTTATCTAATACGCCATACCGGAACAAGCCTGACAATCCTAATTACAGTATTTACACTTTTTTTCCTTCAGCTTTCCTGTGAAAGTGTTGCATGATTATCTACTCAACTTTAAAGTAAAAAAAAACAACATTCAGTTTCTAAAGTTTTTTAAAAAGCACAATACTGACTACACATGCATATATATTTTGAAAAACTGGATTGCTGTAACATTTTCAAGACTGAGTAAAGAAAATACCTTGCAAGGGTGTGCTATTTAGCATCATATCCTCAGTTACTTAGTAAGGGCATATTTCCTTAAAAACAAGCTTTGTACCAAATTTTTGGTCATATATTATATCCATTCTTAATTGTGATATTTGGACACTTGCCCTGTAGTCTACCTGTTTCAAGAGATCGAAGGCACAAAAACCCATTACAATGAGCTGTGCAAAAACCTACAGTTGTCAAGAACATGAAAAAAAAATAGCAAAAGGCCTTACCAGAAATCTTTCCCACAGTCAACACAGCTCAAAGACTGACACTGCCTACATTTGTATGTATGTTTTTCAACTTGATTCTTTTTCAGAGCTTCGCTACAGGCATTGCAAGTAAAAAACACCATCTTCAAACTACAGCACACGTCAGTCTAACCAATATCAAAAATTGTTTTTTTAGGAAAGAGGCAAACGGTGCTATCCACCAGTCCGCTGAGCCAGGGCAGCTGCAAACTTCACACTTTAGAAACCAGTTTGTGTGCTCTGAAATTTATCTGAAAAAGAAACAAAAAGTGAACATGAGATATCTTTAAAATTATTTTTAAAAGATGTCCAGTCGAACTCGGATTCAACGAGGTTGCCGGGTCTGACCTAAAATTTCATTGAATCCGAGGGTTCGTTATAGCAAAAATATGAGGTTTTGTGTAGACAATTACAGGCACTGAGCAAGTAATGTATAAAGAGAAGAGTAACAAGTGGGGCATGAAATGCCTGTATATTATGAGCTGTGTAAAAAAAAGACCTATTCGTTCAAATGGAAACGCCTGTGTCATCTCGATTGTTTACCAAAAAGTTAGTGTTGCTGTGTAGAGCCTAGCATACGGCAACTTTTGATTCCATAGACCAGCGCACAATTCAATACGTAGACCTACGCCAAGACTATCAAATCATTGTGATAATGATCAGTTGCCAGGGAAGGGAAGACTGTGACGCGTTTGTATCTGCGACGTTCGACGCCCGGATCGCGAGTGCCCCATCCCCCCCCCTCCCCGACACGCACACACAGCCGCTGGTATGAAAAAAGGCCGCTGATTGGTCGCATGCAAATGGCTTTAATGTGAATAGTGGTTCACGATGTAGGTGCAATGGACGGTTTCCAGGAATAGATAAAGTTCGTTCTGGGAGAAAAATAATCGAAGCCACATTTGCGGGGGCTGTTCACCCTGAAAGGGACCTCGTTGAATCCCAGCTCACTGATTTAAGTGCTTGTTGAATCCAGGTTATTTTTACAGAAGATATTAAAGAAGAAAAAAAGGGAGAATCTCACATCTCGTTACTTAAACCCAAGTTTTCGTTGAACTCCTTTCCGACTTTTTCAATAGCAATATAAAGTTATTATAAATGATGGATCGAGTTAAAACGAAACAATACTGAGGCACCCTATCACAGCCGATATATCTGCGATACGTCCGCAAGGGGTGTAGACTCGCGCCGTATCAGCGATTCGTCCGGAAAGAGTTCATTTACTTTTTTGTGCCACAACATCATTTTTTTTCTTTGTTTTTGTCCATTTGATCGTCCACACCGACAGACAGTATTCAGAAAGAGAGAGAGAGAGAGAGAGAGAGAGAGAGAGAGAGAGAGAGAGAGAGAGAGAGAGAGAGAGAGAGAGAGAGGGAGAGAGAGAGGGAGAGAGAGAGGGAGAGAGAGAGAGAGAGAGAGAGAGAGAGAGAGAGAGAGAGAGAGAGAAGGAGTAGTAACTAGATCTAGTCAACAGTTACTGGCGAGGGAAACCCAAGAGTCTTGGGGGAAACCCCCGTAGACAACAAAAATAGATTGAATGAAATATCATCATGTAGCTTCCAAAATAAATACTCCGATTTATTTGCTGGTGACCGGTGATTTTGACCATTTGATGACTAAAATCATGAAAATGAAATTAAAAATTGGAAGGACTTACGTAACGAGCGACCACCCCATCAAATACAATAAAGAAGAGGCCTAGATCTAGACCTAACCCTAATCCTAACCCTAACCCTACCCTTACCCCTACCCCTAGCCCAAGCCCTCAATTCTGCTCTGTCTCATAGTGGCAGTGGTCGCTCGTTACGGAAGTCCTCCCGAAAAATTCATTCATCAATATCAATTCACACCAAAGCCAAAACACATAAATGAGACGAGACGAAATGTAGATTTTTAGATCTAAATCTAGATCTAGATCTAGATCTAGATCTAAGTCTAGATCTAATCTAGAATCTAGATCTATATCTATATCTAGATCTAGACTCTACTCTAGAGGCAATGGCTTAAACATGTATGTTTCCATGGGAAGATTGAAGAATACCGGACCACTCATACATTATTGCGCGAGAAAGCGGGGTTGGTGGGGCGGGTGGTTGGGGTGGAGGAGGGGAGAGGGGGGGTTCAGGGGGACAAAATTTTAAAGAATAGATCTAGATCTAGAATCTAGACCGGTCCATTGAGAGATATTAATATTAAAAACGGGAAATTTATGAATTCCTAAGGTTGGGACATAGGCAAAGTCAGTCCGCTGGTCCGGTATTCTTCAATCTTACCAAAGTTTGAAGCAAAGTCTTGGCCAGACCTTGGCACGACGTACACTACACTTAACACACCACGACGAACATCCACACATTGTAGAGAGAGTTGTAGAGTTGAAAATTTATTTACAGAGTGGCTTCCCTTGCTAAAAATACTAAATACCAATGTATTTCAAAAACAACTGAGACTCAAAAATTATTTTTCACATCAAGCTTGAATATTATTTTTTTAGAGCTCATGCTGTGTACTATGTACTTTTTGAATTAAGATATTTGAAACTTCATTTTCAAAATGTATTTTTGAATGTTGTTACGCTTACAAAAGTCAGAATGATTTTGTTTAAGATTGTGGAGTTTGGACAATTAAACAACTTACTAGAAAGACGGATATGGAAACTGACCTGGTGAAAGGTCACATAGGCCTAATTATTATTGTTATAGTTTGTTCAAGACCACAGTCCGAATCGTGTGACTAATTGGGACACAAAAAAATTTATCATAGATTATAACCAAGTCACCTATGAGATGTTCGTAGATCTAGAATCTATGAGGCATTGAGACGCTGGAGTGTTGGTGGAAGCCAAGCAGCAAAACGGGTAAGTTGTGATTTTCTCCATTCTCAGTCAGTAATTTGATTACGGATCTTTTCGGCCTAATCTTTTTTCCTACTCTTGTCTTCTGTCATCTGCTTTCGTCTCCACTTTCTGCCCCACCCCTCACGCCTCACCCCTCACCCCCTTTGACCCCTCCTCTGGGCTTCTTCTGATCTTTCTGCAGCCTTTCTACTGATATTCAGTGATATCCTTGGTTCCTCGACTGCTGTCTTTCAGGCGCACCCCTGATCTTCTGGTAGGAAAGATCTACACCTCTAGCCTTCTCAGACAAGGGCGAAAAATCTCGGAGGGCCCGTATGTGCAAGTTGCGCATGTTAAAGGTCCCACTTGGTGGTAAGCGTAAGAGTAGGCTTCGGCCACCACCTGGGCAAAATTCAAAAGTTTAATGTGTCCTGCGCGCTCATTACCTTAATGCAGTTGCGAGCGCCGTAAAACACTTACCAAAAAAAAATAGCCTGAGATCTCTAGATCTTGATCTAGGTCTAGATGTCTAGAGTCTAGATCTAGATCTAGATATCTAGAATTCTAGATCAGGCGACGTCATTCGTGAATGTGATGGCAAAATATAATGTGCACGCAGTGATAATATTTTTAGGTATTGTATGACGACACTGCGGACAGGAAATAGTGCTTACCGAGTTTCACCGTCTTGTTATTATATTATTATCCAAGCGTCTTTTGACTTAGATCTACTTGGTCAAACTCAATTTTATGATTATGATTATGAGAGATGAACAAGGCTACTTTTGTGCAAACCATGTCAGAAACAAAATATTGTTAGATCTAGATCGAGATCTAGACTAATGCCAATATTGATCGGAATTAAAAGACAACGTCATAAAAAGGAGTCAAATCCTAGGAGGTTTATCAAGAAACTGAGAAAGCCTCCACAATTCAGGCAGAACTACAGTATTATGTAGAAATGATGGCTCCGTTTCAAATAGCATGGGAGCTAATCAGAATGCAGCGTTTCAAATAGTCTCTGTGTTCTTTTTACTTTCCCTCCTGTCTCACATCTAGATCTATAAGATCTAGAATCTAGCTGCCAGTTGTCCATTTTCCACTAGATCTAAATATTGAAGCGCTGAACACAAATATCAACTTCATTTCCGTCGCAAATTAAGCTATAGTCCAGGAACATTGCCCCAACTACAATTGAAGTACAGTCCATGCAGGCTTTAAGCACGGTCATCGGGAGAAAGCTTAAGCGTGCTTAAAGCCGAAGCGTGCTTAAGTGCGAAGTAGACACAATCCAGAGATTTTCATATAGAAAATTCCCCGTGCTATTTCCCTTTGTTTGTAAGTAGGCCTATAGCGGTCCCGCAAAAGTGTGCACTGTTATTTAGACACCCGCCATGGTAGTTTTTGTTCGCTTGTTTGTTTTTGTTCGCTTGTTTGTTTTTGTTTTGTGGTCGAATGGGAAATGAAAACTTAATTTAGACGGCCAGTCACGATACAGCACACTAGGCCTACTGTAACACACTGCCTGTGCGTACCACTGCCTGCTGTGCCACTCATACCACCGCCTTCATCCCACCTCGCGCGTGATACACAATAAAGATTAATGGATAGCGAGGGTCAAATGTAAAATCTCAGCCAGCCTCCCTTTCTCGTCTCCCTGACTCTCTTTGTATTTTTTTGGGGGGGGTCGTGTGTAGCTTTGCCCTAGGCCTAGGCTAGATCTAGATCCTATGTCCGTGCGCACGGCTGTGTGCATCTCTCTGCCTTCCTTTCCGCCCGTGTGAGTGTGCGTGTCCATCACTTGCGTTCTTTGTGTTTCTCTTGACACACTCCACTGCTGCAGTGTAAACTGTGTTCGAACTTCGATGGGTCATCATAATATTGACTGTCTTGTAAATGAAGCGTGCTTGAAGCCGAAGTTACCGTGCTTATAGGCGTGTAATTTATATAGCAAAAATTCGGTAAGAGCCGTTTAGCGTGCTTGAGTCCGAAACGTGCTTAAGGCGGTGTGCTTATAGCCGGCACGGACTGTATCTGCATATTCAGACGTTTAAAAATCTCTAGCTCTAGAAATTGAATTCAATTCAAAAAATACTTCTTCCCAGTCCTCGTAGAATGGCAGAGAATGAAATATTACGCTGAACTTTCACAAATAACCAAAAAGTCTCGAGAATGGAAGCCGGAGAAATATAGATCTAGATCTAGGTCAAGTTTACGTTCGGAGAAATAGTCTCTTCGTAAAGAAAATCAGGGCGGTTACATGGGGGCATGCCTGTTTTAACCCATATTTGATATTTTACAGTTAGGTTTGAAATTTTCTTGAAAAAAATTTATTTGCAACAGTTTTAGTGGCTTTATGTGTGATCTGCAGCAAACAATAACTGTGCAATTTGACCCGCGAAGCAGTCATCCTGTGTGCGAAAGTGAAAATTAAAACTTACCAAATTTATTTACAAATCACTAAACAGAAAGGTCTCCGGCCTTCAATGTCAACAGATGTGTATATTTAATCTAATTTATTTTAGGCCCGCCTGATACAGTTGTTTCTGCTTCTACAACGGCTACCTGTCCTAGACAATCACCTACTCGTTTATAAAAGTAACCACTATCTAGTCAACTTTGCATTTTTTTTAAATTAATGAAAGTCTAAGACTTCCTCCCATCTCTAAGACTTCCTCCCATCTAAATGTGCATTCAGACCAAAGACCTACGTCCGTCTTTCTCAAGTCTCACCAACTGTTCCTTTGTTGGTGTGCCTTTTTCACCTCCAACCTCGGGCGAATTGCAGAACGGGTTGATTTTTTTAAAATTCAGGAATTCAGTTTAATCGACAAACTGAGGTCAATTCCAATTATATCTTGGTATGTTTTCGCATCAAAATTTTCAGATAAACCTGTCAGATTTAACCATTTCAAAAAAAAATTTTGCCCCTCTTCGCTAGACTTGATTGAAGAAATGTTATGCTCATCATTAACGCACAAGATGGACTCCCGTCAACTCCCTTCAACGCATGAGGCGATGAATGTGAGACTTAGGTCTGAACACCAGCAGGTGAGATCTTGAACTAAATTGGTCCATTTGTCTGAATGAAGGACGTGGATGGATGCAGATCTTTTGTCTGAATGCACAGTAAGGTTCGGCTCGGGGTCACAGGGTTAATGAGCCTTGAAGCGACTTTGCCGCTGTCGGTTAAGAAGTTTTCATTTTTGTTTACATTTGAAACGATATAACTTCTTCCCCATTCCACACAGCAAACCATTTCGCGCATCATGTTCTAAAAGCTCAATGTCCTGAGATTTATTTAGCGTTAGAATGGTTAATTTCTGTGCCTTAGTTTTTGTTCTAGAAGTGTTTGTAGAGTACCCAATTTGTCCTATTTTAGTTACATACTTATGAATAAATTATTGTTTATTTTAAAAAGGCACAACAGATCTCTCCAGAATCTGTGTTACTGACTACAAATATCATGCCTTTTTACCATGAGAAATCTTAAATCTGCGTGAGTAGTAATTGTCAAGTTATAAGAGAAGAAAGATGCACGTCTGCATTTTTTAAACTAAAGACACTCAGCATTACCTCTATTTCTACCATTAAACTAGAGAAAGTTACTCTGCGTTTGTTCATGAATCATGCTGTGTCTGTGGCAGCTTGCATACAACTAAGGCCGGTCCCAGAGTGGCTCTGTAGGTCTGACCTGTAGCTCGCCTGGCGCACACCGTGTGCGTGTCAGCACAGCCGCACTGTGGGTTGGCGCCTGTTTCTCAGCGAGCACGAGGCACACTCGCTGCGTCTCAGCACAGCCGCACTGTGTGTTGACGTGTGTAGGCTAGGTGTGCAACTGATGGGTCTGCCTTGCTATATTTAAGTACTGTGTAATCCAAGACCAATTATACCAAGACGGGACAACTCTTCTTTACGTCTTGAGCCAAGTGCAACCCCCTCTCCCCCCCACACACACAAACACACTTGCAGCTGCGCGTGGCGATAGTTTACATTGGTTTCAATGCATTTGTCTGAATGAAGGACGTAGATGGATGCAGATCTTTTGTCTGAATGCACAGTAAGGTTCGGCTCGGGGTCACGGGATCTAGATCTAGAATCTAGAGAAGCACACCTAGATCTAGGCCTAGGCCTAGGCCTACGACAACAGTCGAAACTAGGTCAACCTCTCGATTCGAAGTTTCAAAGTATGATAAAGTGCATTTCTGGGTGATTTTGTGGCCAAGTGTTGATGCTAGCATCGATATTTAATAGTAAAGCACCTAATAATACTTACTTCTTGTTGATTTTGATGATCTGTGAAGAGTTTCAGTCGGAAATAAACACGAAGCGAGGCGACACATGTCCGCCATTTTTACAACACTGTTGAATAGCACGTCTGACTCATCGCGCAGCTCAGCTGACAAAAAACAGACGACACAGCGACGTTACTTAAGCACACGATAATGTATACATTAATTAGCACGGTGCGAGCCAGGCAAGCTACAGGTCAGACCTACAGAGCCACTCTGGGACCGGCCTTAGAAAGATGTATTATGAAGTTTTTTTA